AAATATGAAGCTATTGCCTAGATGTATTGAAAATTTAAATCTCGTCATATTTTGATGTTTAAATTTATCTAAACCATTGGCTGGGCTTACTTTTGTATTTTGTATAAACTGACTAGAAAATATCGAATTGGAAGCTTTTAAAACTTAATTCGATTTAATCTAATTGGTTATGACCATAACGTGGCACAGATAATTATCGATACATCATGTCGATACTTAATTAAATTGATTTACGTAATGTCTGAAATTCGAGCCCTTAAATTCATTTCCAAGCTGTTCTCCATTGCGTGAGTACACTAGTACGCCATGTTTTATATCGGTGATTATAAGTTACAGTCCGACAACCGACATGAAGATAAAAATAGTAGATTTACGGTACTCATAAGCAATCACTGCATTTCTACAAGTTTACCAACTTCTTCAGTAGTACACGCGGCGAAACCTCTCATATATTTTTCCAAGATGTTTGGAATGCAAAATATTCGCTTCATTGGAGTGGATATAAAAAGATTGTCAAATCAGAATAGATGTTACTCTGTCTTTATTTTAATTGTCCTCACGTCTATAATCATTTATGTGCCACCTCTGAGCTGGAAAGAAACTAAGTCGGATCTACCCCTGAATATTTTAACACGACTTTTCGGAGTAACACAGACTTTTGAGATATTCTATTACATCTTTGTGGTTTCCTTCGGAAATGATTTTTACTACTGGCATCTGTATAGAACTTTGAATAGTTTGGACGATCTTTATGAGACGAAAGTTAAGATTTTTCGCCTCCGCAGATGCCTCGCAATTTTACTTATGTGCACTCCACCTTTGTTGGTTTCCTTTACCTTCTATTTGCGCAAATTCACAATTAAAAACATCGTTTCTCACATAACATTCTTTATTATTATGCTCCAAGGAGTTAACTTCATGTATTTCATTGTAAATATTTTCATTGATTTTTTAATATTTCAAACCATACTCAGAAGAAAAGTTCAGGAGGATTTTCCTTCTAAAGTAAACTTTATAACAAAGAGTATAGTAAGTAGATATTTTTTGTTGTAGTACCTAGGTTGTATTGAAATAAAAAATATTGATATTTATTTTAGGAAATATTTATCGGCTCTCAATCCTTACAACGACAGTTTTGTTGGTTCGAACTTATGCAAGTATATGACAAAATTGCTAATTGTATTTATATCTTCAACAAAATATATTCAGGACAGGTATTGAAAAAAACTTTTCTTTCGTATCATAAACCACTAATAGAAATCACCAGTCTTGTAAAAACCTCATCTAATTTTATTTCAGATATTAATTATGTTCGAAGCGTGGTTATTAACTACTGTACTAGTTATATGTAGATCGTTGTCACCATCCATGAAGGTAAGTATCATTGTGCTCTTAATGAAGGAAATTTAAATATTTCGTATCTCGTAAATAAGTATTAATTCAGATAGCTCAATACATCTATATGCGTTTATTTAAGTACAGTACTTAAGGAGGACGCTTTAAATGTATATCTATAATGTATACTTAAATCTTAATGATAAAAAAGTTTCCTCGCCATAGCACAGGCCTCTAGAATTCAATAAGGAATCAGTTTGTCTTAAGTATTATACCAATTGTTTCAGTACTCCAATGTGATGTGGAGTGATGCTTTTTATTACACATTTTTAAATATACGGCCGTTTTTCTTAACAAAAATCAGTGACTTCTTAATTCAGCAGAGAAGGAAAACACTTTCCACGCTTATACAATTACTAATTCAAAATGATGGTTTGTACTTTTATATCAAGTAATTATTGTTATTAGTATAAAGGATGGTCTGTTGTTTCGAAATTCTTAGTGACTAATAAAACAATGTTAAAATCACAATGGTATAGAGGGTTGGAAGAGAGGCGAAACATTCTAAATAGTATTGTTAGTTTTATTACATATTTTAGGCGTATAAACTAGAAAAATGCTACTTTCAGAAAGAATATGAAGCATTTGTTATAAACAATGTGTGTCAAAATATAAAAAGTACAACTATTTTATTTAGTAGAAAAAGTACAAACAGTAAATACATTTAAAAAAAATTACGACTCGGGCAACGTCAGCGTTCTGTGCTGTTCTGTGTGTGTTACTCTAACCAAATACTGTCAATAGTTTACGCGAGTAGTACACATTTAAATGCGTACTACTAGTTCGACGTTTCGGATGCTTTACAGCTTCGCCTGCTGCAAAGCATCCGAAACGTCGGGCCGAAGTTAAAAATCATTTTTCAAATAAGTTTAATTGTTTTATTCAAATTACTCTAACCAATTGTTCTACCATGTCCTACACGTCATCGTCGAATTTTTTTCAACCTCTCGCGCAATGTCCAAGTCCTGCCAGAGTCGTAAATTTTTTAGGTTTATAGAAGACTTTATAATCGATTTTTATTTATATAGTGTTAACATATGCAATAACATGTGAAAAATATTAAAGTTATCAAACGTACAGTACATATTAAGCAACTGTTTCAGACTATAAATATCAAAGTCAAGTGCAGACAATGATAAACTTGGTGCAAGCGAGGAGACTGGAACTTTCAGCTGTCGTCACAGCTGTCGACATGCCGATCATGATGGCCTTCGCTGGAAACGTTATTTCTTACAGTGTGTTGATGATACAATATTTTTATATTAATAATATTTAGAATTATAACTTATAGTTGTTGCAATTTAAGCAGCAACGTATCGAGATCGTAAAACTCTCCGGGCTTTTTACTCTTTATAACTTATAGAACTTATACTAACCTAAAAACAGCTTATCAACGTTTTTCGGGTTGATCGGCCGACGTGAGTGAGAAGAGGTTCTCGACGTTTCGCACGAGCGGACGGCATCATCAGGAGATGTTAGCTCCTCCATTGCTCGAATAATTATCACAACAGCCGAGCTGCCCGAAAAACAATGATATGTTAAACGATGGTCATGAAAGCCTTACAAAAATTATTTAAAACAGCTTGTCTAGCATGCGTTAGATTAAGCAAGAAGGAGTCTGTTTACTGCTATTGTGTGTGTAAGAGAAAGGGAAGCTAAACCACCACTTTTTTAATCTACTGGGTTGGTTACGGAGCAGATTATCCTCTTATATAATTACCTTTTTTTAATAATAATACCATCGAGACCGTCTTTTAATCGTGTGATAATCTCCCTTATACTAAAAAAATATGTATACTACTATTTCAAATCTTGTTTTTACACGATTATGTATATATACAATTACATTTAAATTGTAAACGTATATATCGAAATAAATATTCACTTTGTATGCAAAGACAAGTATTACTTGTAACTTAAAAAAAGGTTATATATATTTTTATAAATTATCTGTGTTACTTCTACCTCTATATTAACTCTACTACATTTTTCGATTTATCTGTTCAACCATAGTAGAACTAGTCGTGGAAAAGTTTAAATACTCTTTGGTTCAAATGCTAAAATTGCAATATCGTATTTTTTTGATGTTTCTGTAAAGAATAACATTCTTTGTGTGACTTATTCGTTTGGTAGAAACTGTAATATCTATAATTATGTATTATATTGATGTTATAAAAATATCAAATCTATTAATCTTTGAATAAATAAAAAAAGAATGTAAGTAGACTTAAATGTAGTTTTATAGTAACATATTATATTCAATATGAAAAAATATTTTAAAGAGATAACAAATATGTATACCTACGCCAGCTGTCAGTATAATTATATTTATTCCTTCACTTTGAATATTCCAACTTTTGTCAAATGATTGTAAAAAAATCCTAGACTTAGACTTTTGTACCTACGTATTATATACCATATTTATACAATACTTAATCGAGAACGATTTATATGTAAGAAAAACGAAATGGTTCTAGAATATAAACAAGCATTTTTCTGCAAAAATAAAAAAAAATCTTTTTCAGAATGGACTTTCGTTTTGCTATGGGGCTTTGTGTATTTTTGCTTGTTACTGTACCAGCCATATTAATACTCTTACAATGTACACTCATGAGAGATTGTGTAGTAAGAATAGACAGATAAACATCAACGATTAAAAATTGAGACTAAATTGATTATCGTTTTTTATTTTTATTCTCTAGAGTCTAGAGGTTCCCAACTCCCAGAACCAAACCAAATTTTAAATCAATAAGAACCATTGTGTTATTTATATGTATTTACACAAAACACGTTAACGGTTTAAAACGCGATATATATTAGTTACACTTATGTGAAAATTATTCTTAACTTCGGCCCGACGTTTCAGCTGCTGCAAAGCATCCAAAACCGTTAAAGTGGTTTATTTATTATATAATTTTTGTACTACTCGCGTAAACTGCAGACAGCATTTAGTTTAATTATATGTAAATTGTGTTTTTGAAAACTAGCTAATGTTTCAAATCACAGATAAAAGTATATATAGTTTTGGCTATGCTCCATTTCCTAATGTTACACAGCAACAACCATGGTGTAGTATTTATGACAATAAAGATAAACGAAGAAATTTGAATTATTACAGTAAAAAATCGATTGAGCGATTAATTAATTTAAAAAAAATAATCGCTAGCTTCTTAATCGAGTTACAAAAATCTATTGTCTCTGGATTTTATGAAGCCATATTTGTTTATGATTGAAATTGCATGTGCCAAATAAGTCTTCAATGTTTATCAAAAAGTCATTTTCCGTTTTCGACAACTATTACTGTTGATTCATAGTGGACTTGCCTGTAGAGTTTCATAAAAATTTGCTTACATTGACTCACTACGCCGCTAATCGTATTGTGAAGTTAAGCCACGTCAGAGAGACATTAATACGGCTGGTCACGGTATACAAAAAATCGAGTTTAAAATATATTCAGCCATTAACTTCTTGCTCATTAACTCACTATAATACGTAGTTCGAGAGCACAAGACGTGTGACAGCAGAGATTTTGTTACAGGAGAGACTGTTAAGCTATATTCAGGCGTTCATTTGGAGAAAAAAAGCTAGAAACAACAAACTAAAACATGTCTGGATGTAAGTATACATGATAGTAATAATAATAATACTTATCTTATATGATCTCTTTATAATGTTTCCGTTTTGAAAATTTCCTTTCCGTATATTTTGTACTATGCATATAGGTTGAATTACAGTATTGAATGGTATTTTTTATCTTTCAGATCCATATGGCAACCCACAATTTCCACAGCAGCCAAATCAAATTTATCCTCAGATTTATAATCCTACAGCAATACCTCCTACTCAAGGAGGACAACCAATGATGCCAAGTTTTCCAACACAATATCCATACCAGCCCGGCTTTGCTGTGTATCCAGGTCAAGGAGCTGGGCAGCCCCAAGCAAATATGCCCCCATCTGCTATGTCCTATCCTAATGTGGCTCCTACAGCTCCAAGTTTTGGCTATGCTCCATTTCCTAATGTTACACAGCAACAACCATGGTGTAAGTAATCTCTTGACAATTTATTTAGAAAATATGAAGAATATAGCAATTTAATTGTAGATCGGAGACCCATGGTATTACTATAACAAATAAACTGGTCTATATGAATGATTTAAGATCTAGTAAGGAACACTTGGTTCAAAGGGTTGTCTCCTTTTTTTATACCATACATTATTTTACCTAAATTTTAAATGATAAAATTCTCCTATTGATACATTTCTACTCGTAACTATTTAAGACTAAGCTGGCAATAATTTGGTTTAATCTTCTTCTGTTTTCTTACATATAACATTACTTTGTGATTCTCTGAAGGTAATGTATTTATTACGTAATTTTCAGCTGTGGTTGAATGGATTCCATCAACAACTCAAAGTGCTCAGTCACTAAGTAACAGAGCAGTCGTAGCTGGGTACGAAGGATATGACCAAAGTCCATTGTGGGTTATAAGGGCTAGACTTAACGGAGATCTTTTACCAGGAAAGCTTGCTGTGAAGCATCATGCTGCATATGTGCCTTATAATGGAAAGGAAAATCCTGTACAAAACTTTGAGGTTTGTGGTTTTAAAACACATGATTTCTTTATTTTAGATGAGTTTGTTGCTAAAGATAGTGGGTTATCTTTGCCTAATAGTAACATCCACCAGGGGATAAGCCTGCCACCATGTTTCTTATGAATTAATATTTTTTTTAGTATTTTGGACTGTATCTACAGATAAAAAGGTTGTGAAGCTTAATCCTTCACCTGCAATCTGTGAATTTCCAAAATACTAAAACTAAAGTCGGTTGACAGCACATCTTACTATGATTTTTTCTTTCTATGGTATTTTAATTATTATCAAGTGAACGTCATGCTTAATTTTGATCCTTTGCCATTAAAAATATATGTTAGATAACTTGACACCCTCTGTATTCGAGGATTCGGTAATTTGGTGAAATGGCGAGCAGTTAGCAAATACTCAACACAACTGAAAATAGCAATAATAATAATAATAATATTGAAAGGCCAAAGATAAAACTTTTCTTATGAGTAACACACACACACCATTATGATTCATTATTCTAATGACTTTGTAACTGTGTTACATAGTTATTAACTGTTACCTAATGTTGATTTAATTGAATTAGAAACCTCTAACTATTAACGAAATGACACATAAATATACCAATATAATAAAATTTAAATGCCTGTCAAAATATGATCAATTTATTAAAATAATTAATCTACTAACTAACAAAAATTGTAGTCTTAATTTAATTGTGGCTTACTATTTATTTAAAAATTTATGCATGAAACATACATTTTCGTGGCCATATTATTACTGGCTGCTTTATAATAGCATTTCTTCAGCTGTACTTCAAGTATTGTTTAGTTGTCAAACCAAGTCCTTAAGCACGAAGTTTTCTCTCCTATAAAGGTGTGGCCAGGGTTATCAAACCGATTTTATTAAAATGTGACTTGATAGGTTCATTAGGTCATTTATACACAAAATCTGTGGTAAAATTCGATGTTATTTCTTTATGTTTTTGAAAATAATTATATTACAATTAGTAAAGTTTACAGGTAAAATAAATGTATTGTAAGTTTGAGAGTAAGTAGTTATGTAATACTATGAGAAGATTTTTTGTGAAACCATAAATTGTTATAAATGTTGTATTTTTCTTCAGGTGTGCTGCGCCCCGGCAGACAAAATCCGTTGGGTCGAAGGTAGGGATGGTGTGGTTCCCCCGAATGCAATAGCTGCTGGTAACACCGCAAGTGGTGAGCCCCTGTACATCGGCAGGGCAAGGGAACAGGGTTCACTTACTCCCGGAAAGGTAATGTCTTTGAACCTTATATAATACTTGCTTGTATGATGTGACAGACTATTAGTTATATCTTCCTTTAATGGTTTCTTATAAAGATTCAATATATTTAGATTTAAAATTAAACACTTAACGGTTCAAACCGCGAAGTATACTAGTTAAGCTACCCAGCTATTTACGACAAGTATCAATATGTTAACATAGCACATTTAGCTTTGATATTACTCATTACTATATTTTGGTAAACATTATAAATTTTTGGGAATTGTGCAAAGTACTTCTTTCTGATATTGAGTTTCTGGTTCTTTGAATAGAATGAAACTCGGTGTAAAGTAATGGTAACAATGGCTAATAATCGACAAGTAGTCAGTTTGAGCCCTCCGGGTCCAAATTGTTTTTAAACAATTTATAATTTTTTGAAACATATTGTTCTTTGTCTAGAAATCTAGATAGTATGTGGTAGGAATATCGAAATTCCGACAGTGTCACGATGACCATCCACGACGACGAACCTCAGATGAAATACCATCAACTTACCCCCATGCCCTTCTCTAAGATGAAAAAAAAAATATAATTATTTCATCTGGAATCGTTTATCAAAGATCTCTCACCCTTATTTTTTGCAAGCCAACCTGGTTAACTTATATTTACAATTTTAGGTACATCCCAGTCACAAGACACTTTACATTTCTTTTGGAGGTCACGAAATCGGACACAAGGTATATGAAATACTGTGCACTGTGTGAGAAGCGGTTTTTCCTGGTTTAATAATCGATAGTGAATGCTAAGCTACACTATATGGGTTAAAATTGCCTAATATGTTTATTGTTAAAACGGATTTTTAATGTTAGGAGTTCTATCTTTAAGTTTTATGAAATTTAACTGGAAGCCTATGTTATAAAAGATATTGTTTAAGGATAAAAAGGTATTCCTTGAGGTCAATTTGATACAAAATGCTAATCTCCAATTTAAATGTAAGTTATATTAAGATTTGTATTCGAAATAGGTGCAATGAGACTGGATTACATTATAGTATTTTTGGAATGATAGTATAATATGAGAAAGGAATAAAGTTTTTATAAAAATTGTATTTTTGTACTTATTTTGGAGTACCCAATGTAGAAATAGTTTTTATTTATCAAAGCAACAAGAAAACATTTTTAATAATTTAACAACAAACAAGGTTTTATTTAATAATAAAACGTCAATTAATTTAAGTATGTTTTATTAAATAAGTACATTTTATGAAATACAATGTTAGTATTGTTTGTAGCCTTACGACACAATAATGTGCAACTTTCTAAAATCAGAACAAAGTCATCTGGCAATCGTCAAGTAATTTTTCCCTCATTTATAAGTTAGTATAGAATTTAGTGCCATTACACATGTTTTTTTTTTACAAAATACTGATAGATTATCCGATTTCTTAAGTACTAATAAGTATATTACTTCATTGGTCCAAGATGATCTGTTGAACAATATGTCAATAAACATACGTTTACCAGCATTTTCAAGCGCATGCTTTGTATAAATGGTATACATAGTTTATCACCTGCCTTATATTATAGGTATATATTAACTCAATAAATTAATTTGGGAGAAGGAACATTATATAACGTTATTTAATATGTTAAATATCACAGTGATTCTCTCCTAACATTTTATCTTACATGTTACGTCATTTGGGGCCATACATGATTACGTCACACGTTACTGTATGGTATGGATCAATAGAAATTGATAATTTTATTCATAGTGCTAGTAATATGTATTGCTTCATTTACAGAAAAGAGTTTAATATTTTGTGGGTCTACCTAGTCACTAATCATACTAGAAGGGTCCCCTTCTTTGTACAAATGTCATGTCAAAATCGTATGAAATAATTTTAGGATGGCCTCTAGCACTTAAACCAATTCTAAAGTTTACTAGTAGCAACCATGCTTTGAGTGAAACCAATCTCAATTTGAGATTGAGTAGCATTCTCAGCGTCTAACGCCGGGTTGCCACTTTCAATATTCTTTACGCTTTCGTCATTTTCAAACGCACAATTTTCTTGACCAACTTTCTCACTTTTATCCTTTTCTCTATCGTTGACGGCGTTTGTTGTCGCCACGAATTTTTTATTCGCCAAATATAACCACCTGAAAAATATAAATTACTATTAATGTAAGTGTTATTTCTATCCGCCTGAATTTCAGGATTCTTCTACTTGTCTACATCACCTTGCACTTAAGTGTTCAGTATCATTAGCAATTAGCATATCTTATAAATTACATCTAAGTATGGCATTAACGGAAACAATGTATCATAATGAAATGATTATGTGCTTGCGCTTCATAAGAATCACCTCGCTAATAAGTTACTGAAATTAATCTTTATTATATTATAAAACGGATTATGTAGTTTTAAAAATTAAACGTCATACAATAATAAATAATAATTGTTAATATAACAGTGACCATTTTAAATTAAAAAAAGATTCTAGATTGAAAAAAAAACTACGACGTCAGTCTTCTTGCTAAAGACAATAAAAACTAGCTAGCCAATATATCAACTTAGTTTGACTTTTAATTCATATAAGGCCATACTGTGTCGTAAAATATTAAGATCAAAAGTAACTATTTTTTCTCATATTTACTGTGTTGTGAAGAGACAGCTATAGTTAAAAAGCCGTTTTTCATTAATTTCAATGAATCTTATTTAGTGTTATTTTCTGTTTCTTGTTGTGTGATAATGAATATTTGTATTTGTTACTAAAAGTAAGTAGCTAAATGTTTGAATTGACCCAAGTTTGCAAAAATTAGACGATGACGTGTAGGACAAGGTAGCCCAATTGGTTAGAGCAGCACAAAACGCTGTGGATGCCGGTTGAAGTCCTGCCCGTGTCGTAATTTTTTTTCAATTAAGAATCGATTTTTTTATTCTATAACTAGAATAGTTACTCACAAAAATATAAGTACAGCAGGCACAGTAAGTCCGCCGCCCAACAAAAAGAAAGCTCCGGGAAACGTTTTTATTGTCGCGGTGTATACACTTGTGTACATAGGGGCATAAACCAGTGGCATCATCGCTTCAGCTACACCGAAGAAAGAGTTCACTTTGCCTGAAAACAAAGTTCAAAATAACTTATTGTAACTTAGGGCCTTTTTTACTGGCTTCAAAATTACTCTATTATTATTCAAGCAATGCTCTTGCATACGAGAGATCCTAGGTAGCATCTTTGAGTAGATAAGATAGTGTTTCGGTCAAAAAGGGTACAATTTCAAGCCTCTAAGCAAAATTAATTAGTAAAATCAAAACCTTACCCAGTTCATCTTTATCCACCAATTTGGACACCATAGATCTCATAGCTATAAACGAAGTCCCATTAAAGATCTCGATAAGCGGTGCTGTAATAATAAATGGAAATGTCTGTAGATTTTATTTATGCAAGTAATATACATGTAGATAAAACACTATAACGGCTTAAAACGCCTAATACGTTACAGTTAAACTTATTTTTTTATTTTAACTACTAACTGGGAGACTCCCCGTAACCATGGCTGCTGCAAAGCACCCGAAATTTCGATATCGATAAATAATTTAGCTTAAACCAATTACTTAAGTATGGATATAAGTTGTAAACTATATATAGTATAAAGTAAATATACTAACTTAAAAAACCATGAAAGATCTTTCTTAAAGTCTCTATTTCAATAATTGACTTCTTGCTTCATATAAGTATGTCAATAGTAGTAATAACTTTACCTATATAAATATGCCAGGTCTTCGTCGCAAACGCATACATAAATCCAGATAGAATTTTGCTCGTACAAGATATGACACCAATTATTGCATCGTCGAATTTTAGTATGTGACTAAAAACACCAACCGAGAATAAAGTGCCTGAAAAGAATAGTGAATTGATGGTTTTTTAATCAAATAAGGGCTACAAGAAATACGCAAGGTTAAGCAAGTTGTAACTGTTGTACCAATGCTTCTTTTATATCAAATAAGAACAGCCAACCACAGGTTTCACATGATGGTATCTTCACAAGACTTGTTTGAGCTTTGGCTTTTCATTCGAAAATAACTTACACGATGTGATTAGTCTTAAGTGTTAAATATAAAACTGGAATGTTCTAGTTCTGTATCAAAGTCGTCGTCGAGTAAAAATTCTGTCAAGTAACAAATATGCAGCGCCATCTAGAATGATATTATTATACCGTTCTGTCATTACAAAACTTAAATACAGTTTAGTTAAACCATATTATCATTTAAGTTTTGAAAAAAATATCTTATCAATATGTTTTTCCGAGTATCCAAACCCCGAAAGGTTACGCATCTTCTTTGGATGTATTATTGCATCTTCAATCAAGTACTTAATCATCAAATAAAAAAATAAATAAAAAACCTTGCTAAATTCTAACTTACCGACTAACGAAGTGCACATGGCGTAAGTAGAGAACATACTGAAATCCACCTCGTTCCAATTGAACCGATACCTTGTGAAGAGATACATCACCGACATTTCACCTGAAATGTAAATATTACAATTATTAAAAATACTGAACTTCTAGACATATTTATCGTTCTCAAGTAATGGCTCAGTCTTATTTAAATTTGAAAATAAAGATAATTTTTTGTAGCATACCTTTTCAAACTAGATTTAAATTATAGGTGTAAGTACAGTCTGTAGTTTACGCAACAACAGATTTAAACAAAACACTTTTAATGGTTTCAAACGAAATTTGTAAATCTAGTTACAATTTATTTTCACGCGTGCCCACAGTTGCTGTAAAGCATCTGAATCGTTGGGCCATAGTTAAAATAAATTGTAAATAAGTTAACCTATATATTCTGCATTTTAAAGCGTTAAAAATGTATTATTAAAATTGTAGATATAACTCTCTCTACATGGTAAGTAAACAGGGATGTACTAGATCTGGTTCTAGTTTCTAGAACTGGATGTCTTTGTATGTATCTTTTAAAGTCCCGCATTTAGACCTTCTTATCGACAACTTGTGTATATACACCTACGTAATCGGATTCACTATAAAAAAAGTACGTTTTACTGATGTATATAGATGTGTTAAAGGATTTTACATAAGTAACACATCAATCAGGTCAAACAATGAACGATTTGATTCAAGACAATCGACCGTTATATCTGCCATAAATGATAATGCTATTGAAATTGGCTACCGTAAAACCCTAGAACTATAAACTATAATAATTGGATACAGCAAAAATTTTAAACCTATGAATTCAGTACGTAAGACAAGTCAAAAGGTTGTCAATAGTTAAAGGTAAAAAGTTTTTGTATTTTTCTAGTAGCTATCGAAGAAACTTCGTCCTCATAAGTCATAGAATTGTTGTTTTGGGCATCAAAATTTGGTACACATATAGGTACATACTGTCGCAGACATTTTTCAAATCCGAAATCATTCTTTCATACATATTTTTACCTAATAGAACCTTATTCGCAGTGCACGCAACGGAAACTCAAAGATCAATAACTTTCTCGTATCTTTCACATTTTTCACTATTTATTCGCTCCTATTGGTCCCAACATGATGTTTTATTGCCTAAAGCATTCGTCAATAAATGTTCCGACCAACACAAACGGATTTTAAAAATTCAAACCAGTAGTTCCTGATTCTAATTCCTGATCACCGGAATTATAGATCCCAACTTTTTATGTAGGTCGAATATATATTTTTTAATAACTTTATATATGTATTTGATTAAAGACTTCAGATCTGATGTTAATAAGTACATAGAATTTAACTTCAAATACAATTATACTAAGTTAACATAAACCCCTTTTTACCACGAACAATGTATAGCAACATGCGCTGGCGCATCAATCGCCGGAAACTATGGACCGCTGCGTCTGACGTCACATTGTACGGCACATCCGATTGGCCATTCATAACAAATACCATTCAACATACTTTCAATACAAAATACAAGCACTATATCTTGTCTAATATAGAATGACAAGTTACATTATTAGAATCTAGAATTGTATGTTTTTGGTAAAGGTGTGGTGGACAAAAACTTTGTACTATATTTACGGACACTTAGTGCCGTGTAAAAAGCATAAACTCACTATTTATTTTAATTTTTCTATAGTATTATATTAAATAGGAAATTCAGGGAGAATCTAATATTATCGAATACATTTTTCAATGAGCCGGCACACCGCCCCATTAATTATTAATTGTCAAACATGTAATTCTAAATTAAACAAAGTACAGCTCAACGAACTAATGAATTAATAAGCATCCAGAATATATATTCTGCTCGTTCTTTATATGAAGACTACATAGGTAGTCTCTAATTACCATATTATTATGTCATTGTGGTCATATTATAATTTCATGGTGTATTTTATTCGTTAAAGAACGCAATGTCCAGCAAAAATTCATAGGCTAGAAAAACATGAGTTTTGTAACTGTTTACCATTAATTTGTCATTGCTGGCTACAGGTATCTCTTAGCAGAGTGTGTTTAAAACTTAAGCCCACTAGGATCCGGGATATCTGGATATTCCACGATCCGAGCCGGTCCTAGTTGTCATTATTTTACTTGACCCGCGATTCGAATTTGGGATCTCGTATTACATTTTACTCTTTATCCTAACATTATAAAGCTGAAGAGTTTATTTGTTTGGACTACGGTTCGGATTTAAAAACGTTGGATAGACCATTTATCGAGGAAGGATTTGGGCTATTTAATAACACGCTGCGACCAATAGGTCTGAAGATACAGTGAAAATGTTGAAAAACGGGAAAAATTATGTACCTTGGAGGACTTCCGTTGCGTGCACTGCAAAAATGGTTGAAAACACCCATAAAATGTGTATCAAATCATTGATAACAGCTATAATTAGTACAGCTAAGGAGGTTGTTTTCAAAAATAACTATTCTACGCGGACGAAATAGCGGGCACAGCTAGTAAATCATATATATCAGTAAAATGTAAAAAAATGTAACTTTAAAAATCGAAAATAAATTGAAAAAATTTTCGACTCGGGCAGGTCTTGAACCGGCATCTGTTCTTCATTGCTCTACCAATAGAGCTACCGCGCGCAATGTAATTTCAACCTTAACAATTTCGGATTAAGGTTAAAAAAAAAAAAAATTATTTCCGATTTTTAAATTACAGTGTAAACTCCATGTAACGTCACTCTATTTAACGACAAACTCTCTTAAGCGTCGAAATCAATTGGCTTTGGTTGGTTTAGCTTGTTTTTCATACAATGTTTCTTCTCTCCATTTAACGACAACTCTCTATAACGCCATAAAATGCACAGTCCCTTCAGTGTCGCTATATAGAGTTTACACTGTATATAGTGCCTTCATGTGCAATAACATGTGAAAAATATTAATGTTTTCAAAATGTAACTTACCATAAATAGGTCCAATAACAACGCAGAGAACTATTACAAGCATGATGACCCGCAGTCGTCTTCTGTTTGGTCCGTTCTTGAACGCAACCATGAAAGTGTCTTTCACGTACCGCGTGTCGAAGAAGTCGCGGAGCCATTCGCAGCTATTCTTTGCTGGCTTCTGTAATATGTTTTAATATTACTTACAAACTTATATTATAAAGCTGAAGAGTTTGTTGGTTTGACTGCGCTGATCTCAGGAACTATTGGTTTGAATTGGAAAATTCTTTTTGTGTTCGTTAGATCTAGGCTATGAAAGATCAAGTTGTGATCAAATGGAGCGAAGACACAGAGGGCAATGTGAAAAAAACGGAGAGAATTGTGTATGTTTGGTTACTTCCGTTGCGTGCGAAACCTAAAAATGTATGAAAGAATGATCTTTAAATTATCTCACAAAATGTCTGCGACAGCATATGTCTTGTCCTTTAACATTATTATGATATGATATTTATAACAAATTTTGATGTCCAAAGTCGCGGACACAGCTTAGTTATAAATAAAAAAAAATACCAAATAACACAGTTTTACTATGCTCGTTCAGAACCTGTAGCGTATAGTCTAATAGGAATTTCGAAACCCAAAAAGGCTATTGAATATGTAAAACTACAACATATACACAACTACAAAATATACGAATTATTACTCAAAGACTATCCATCTGAAGATAACAATAACTGAAAAACGTGGATTACGTAAAATCATCGATCTATTGTTCGAGTGCACTCAGAGGTCGATTAGTACTTGATAATGACCATGATTAGTGCGTAAATACAAACTTACGATGTACAATGTTATAGTAGATAACGAAAGCCTAGGGCATTGTTATATCATCTTTACCAATTTAAAGGTTTGTTTATTTGTACGCGCTAATCCCAGCAACAGTTATCGAGAAAGGCTTTAGAGTTTAGGCTATATTACATCAGGATGCGATCAATAGGAGCGGAGAAACAGTAAGACTTGGGGACAACTGGGAAACGATTCAAGATACCCGAAAAATAATTATTTAAATGTGTACTACTCGTGTCAAAATGCAGACATTCATCACGTTAATAATCGAGAATTATTTATATAAATAAAACCACAACCTTTATATAATATAATTCAATAATTTCTATCTCTCACCTAACTAGGTCAAGTTGAGGGACTTTTCCTATTGTAACGCCCGAACAAACTTATAGGCATTGAACTTGTAACCTGTTATATAATAACAACTTGTGAACGAATTCCATTCATGGCCGTTTCTATTTCAATGCAAATATTATGAAAGCAAAAACATCGGTTGTTTAATTTAATGGTTCTTTACATAATATGCCGGTTAGAAGTCGCGATCTTTACGTATTTATGTAGCGTACACATCTGAGCCGGTTTTTCCAATCGATTCTTGGCAAATATAAAAGGTTTCGAAACAGACACAGATGTGTGTCGGTCCTATGCCGCATATAAATAAGATTATTTAACCTAGAACTGGCTCTAAAGGAATCCTATTACTTAACGCAATCTATACTAATATTATTAAGCTGGGTTTGTTTGTTTGAATGCGCTTATCTCAGGAACCAATTGATAAAATATATTTTTGTTGGGTAGAGAACATATCGAGGAAAAGACTCGCTGCTTTCTTTAAGTCTAAGAAAAAATGAACGCAGACGACGCCGCGGGTAACAGCTATGATTTATAACGACGAAGAGGGTGTTTGCAAAAACAAAAAAAAAACTATTCTACGCGGACGAACTCGTGGGCACAGCTAGCGTACACTAATAAGCTGCGGAGATATGGAATACGCATAATACTATACTAGTATTTTGTATTATAAGGGTATCAACTATTTCCATTTGCGATCGTTCTAGATAATATAAATATACGGATATCCGACAATGACAGAACCAAAACGGCCGTAACGAATGCAGTAACAATAACAGACACGTAACTCATGAATAACGAACAATAGTTTTAAGTGTATCCAATCCGAAAAGAAAGTTTTCTCTAACAACTGAAAAAATGACACAGTTTAGTGTATTCCAAACAAATCCATATTAATTTCACTAGTTTGTACTTTTCAGTTCATGGTACGTTGTAATACGTTTTTTACATTTATTACGTGAATATTGTCTATAATTTACGTGACTTGCACATATAAAATAAAACACTTTTAACACAAACAATATCAATAGGCATACAAATCGACATATATACTTGGTTTATTTTCAACTATAAACCGATGTGTCGGATGCTTTGCAACCATGATCACATCATCTATAACAAATACATTTCATGTTTTGAGCGGGTATAAGGGTTTTATTGAGAATGTTCTTCCTGTCTTGCTTTATTAAAATGAAAACATTAGATGAAATAAAAAACGATATTCTTCATTATTATAGTAAAAATGAATGCCCCAAGTACCGCAAATATTTACTTAACGATTAGATTAGGTTTTTGTATAATAATTGTTTAACCTACTTACCTAATAAAACAATACTTATTCATCATAATAGTAAAATTTACCGTAAAGACAATAAAAATAACATCGCTACCAAACCATTGACTACTAGAGCGTCCTTAGATTCATAGATTATTTATTATTATTATTAAGTCAGGTATTTTTTGTAACGCTTATGTTGAAAAAAAATAGCTAATGTGCCCGCAAGATACTAAACAAAAATATTAACAAAATTCAAGTACTTACTTCATTCAAATCAATCCGCTTCACTTCCTTTATCCTTAAGAAGGCGTATAGAAAACTTAAAACGTACAGTGACGCACTCAAAGAAAACACTCCATACAGTCCAATCTTTCTCACTAAAATACCACTTAATGCAGCGCCCACGGGAACTCCTAACGAATAGAACAAATTCACTATTCCAATCCGTAACGTCCTTTGTTCTTCAGTAGTCACATCAGCTATATAACTAAACACTCCCATGAACATGGTAAACCATCCCCCGGTCAAAGCAGGAAATATAGCTTCAGTAACAGCTGCTACCTCCACTGGCAACTCGTAGAAGAAATAGGTATTGAATATAAGTCCCATACTAGTCAAAAATTCGCCGATTATCGGCAAAAGCATACAAAATTTTCTCTGTCCTACTCGGTCGCTGTAGGCTCCCAAGAAAATTAATATTCCACATGGTAGAAACGATTGAAGGACTGTTTTCCACCCGGCAACTGAAGCCACCAGTGTTTGCACTGCTTCTTCTTCCATTGTGTAATTTGCAGTTTCTCTTCTCGTTAAAGCATCGCATACATGGTGATCGAAGGCTAAATTTACCCTGCAAGCCTTTTCTAAATACAAATTTTGCGTTGCAAGAGCTGAAAGTACAGAAGGCATTACGTAGCCAGCCAATATCGGTTCAACCGTTATCAATGATATCAGCCGTCTCGCTTTTTGGAAAAAGTTTAAATCTACCCAATCGTCTTCAGGTGGCATTTTGGCTTCTTGAGCTTTTTCTGCATTAGTTTTTGTTAAATTATTTTTCATTTCTTTAGTATCAATTGAATTATCTTTAAGTGTTTTTTCTGAAGGCTTCTCGTCGCTCGCTTTGCTCTCACAAGCCATTGTCTTGATCAAATACCTGGAATCAGAAATGTGCTATTATTATCGAGATATTTAGCGGTGTCTCATTAGTACAACGCTAATGTAAGTAAAACCGGACGCAGTAATCATTTCATGATTGCTACGTACTTAGCGTAATCGTTGATGAGTTGTGGACAGAATTAACTTTACCTAGACAATGCTTTGTTATACGGGAGTGGGGACTGTCCGTTTTAATATTAAAAGTCACGTATTACAATAAATTTTATGCATTTTTTAGTAATGTTAAAGTAGATGAGACACGTACAGTTTTAAATAACTGCATGGACTGTTATATATCAGTTTCTTTGTTACTCGATTTTTAACTTCAGCTACTTCCGCCGAATTCGTTACAGCGAATTATCTAAAACTAGCAGTATCACACGTACATTCAACACAATCACAAAGATTCGTATGTGTAAGTGTTGTAGTTCATCATATCAATACAACAAGGAATGCAGCTGGTGTATATCTTATAGGAGGTTTTATTTTTTAGGATTGTCTATGCCATATCTCTCTATTTACTGGCACAATACAGATCTTTCTGTATTGTGTCAATAGAAATAAGATAAGGCAGTAAATAGTTTCTCTCTACCACTACTTCTATATTACGCATTCTTATGCTTGATATATAATATGACAGTCTGCCACGTAGTATCAATCAAGTTAGTATTTGCGAATTGCTAAAATGCGTTAGTTAAGATTAATGTTTTACGTTTTGCGGATAAGTAGATCTGATTGTCATCAAGACCTTGTGAACATCTCCACAATACCGTCCAACAAAAACTTAAACGCTGTCATCGTATTGGCCTCGCCTATGCGGTTCCGTATTCCCAATCAAGGTTCACATAGTAACCAATGCGTATACTTTGCACGTGAGTGTACATAATGTCTATCATACCTGGACACACCATAGCTTCATTTAGATCTTAGCAGCGCTCTTTAGCATCGTAACATCTCTTTCTCCTATCAAAAAGTTTATACTAAATTTAACGCTTCTAAATGTAGGAAAGTATTACAGAAATGGTTAAGGTTATGCATACAAATCTATCGATAAAAGAGAATGTCCAAGCCAAAAATTCATCAAAAAACCAATAAGTGTACCGTTGAAAGTAAATTATATCCCTAATTGCTACGTAAAGAGTAAAAAACAAGAACGTTTCCGACTGTTTTTTGCTTACAAACTACCTACTTTTCAATAGGTGGTATTTAAAAGACAAAATTACGTATCTAACTTTTATAAAGAATTACGTTAATTATATGTAGCTCTATACACTTAACGACATAATCATACAATAATATTATACAGAAAGCTAATATTTAAATAAATCAAAAATTCTTTGAATTTGTTTAGTGGAAATAGTTTTTCTTTGACAAATAATAAAGATAGCCAAATCTTCGAAGATTTCATAGTTGCAAAATAATTTAATTACTATTAAACAAAAAGCCGTCAAAATTTCAGTTTCACATATTACTTTTCCAATCAGTTATTTATGATAAGAATTGCATTTATATTATTTCTAATTATATTTTGATAATAAGTGGTACGATATATCTGTGTAATATTAACTCATTTCTTTTAGTATTTTAGTAGGAAGTTCAACATTCGACATTGTCCAATAGTATAAAAGGTCGTTTTCTTTAAAATATATTTGCCTACCGAGAAACACAAGGGCACAATATGTATAACAGGTAAAACTTAAAATAACGTCAATAAGCTATTTTAAAATACGCGTATAAAAGCGGTGGTTATTTTAAATATGACAGTAAAAAATGATAATAATAGTTTTATTTTTTCATGTTCTATACTAGTTTTAACTCTTTGTCTTTCTGTCATTAGGTTACCACACTGAATTATCAATATGAAATAATAATTATATAGATCAAATATATCAAATTCACAAATTCAATATTATATATTTTTTTAATCCAGTCGTCGAAAACGACTCCATCGTTCTGTTGCTTTTTCTATCTTTAAGTAGTCTGTTTAGGCTAATTTCACTTAAAAGTGTTGATGGGTTTTTAGACATCTTCAACTTTCCGATGTTAGTCATAGTGTAAACTTACAGATCGAGTGTTATTTTATTTAAGCATTTGTTTAAAGTAATTAAGATTTGTATTCCATAATACTTCACGGTATGATTTACATATTGAGATCGTGACCATAACATAAGTACCTCGTGTCAACAAAGTTTTATCGGGTACATCAAAATACGTCCCGGGATTCCCCAAACATCTACGTAATTAGCATAGTTAAAAACTGACACTTTTTTAACGAAACCATACTACTTGGACGATTCTAAGTGCTAGCCGTGAGATAGCAATTGTTTTTATGAAACCACAAATATGGCGGTAAAATAGCTGTAACAATACATAATGCTATTTTAGTATTGAACAATTTAGTATGTCTGACCTCCGTGTAAATAATTAGTACCTTGGTTTTGAAGGGATTTCAATGTAACTCGTGTTACGAACCTTAGTTACCTAGAAGGTGTTAACAAAAATATATTTACACATGCATTATTTTTAAATATGTTTTATATTTCGTAAGAGGGCATTGTATCTTACGCTGACCTTTTTGGTTTTGTTTAGAATTGCTCAATTCTAAGCAAAGTTGGAATAAATATCTCAACATAGTCGTTTTAAGTTGAATCTAGAATCTATATCTCCACAACTAGAATCTCTTTATTTCAAAAAAATATCGCCACTAATGCGCGAATGTCTGTAAGATTTTCAGCTATTGTAAGCTAATAATAACACGATTGTTTGAATGCATCCTTACGTTTGCACGTTTTATTGTTGTCCAACTTTGTATAATGTAGTATAATTGTGCTTTGTACTTTGAAATCATAAAAGAATAATACGTTGATCATCTGTAATTTCGTAACAAGGAAATAAAGAGATTATACAAATAATTTGCATCCGTCGTTTAAGGTAGATCGTGTGATCTGTTTTGTTTATTTAAATATAATAATTGTTATGACAAACATACTATATAGCCAAAAAATTGAAAAACGTTTTGACTTTTCTCGGATAATCTGTACAAATGAAAACATTAATATTTTTCACATGTTATTGCACATGAAGGCACTATATAATTTAAAAATCGAAAAGAAATTGAAAAAAATTCCTGCCCGAGTCGAAAATTTTTTTTAATTTATTTTCGATTTTTAAATTGTACAAATGAACTTTTCTTTTCTGAGGTTTTGTGTTGCCATTTTAAACAAACAAACAACAATTTTAATTTTCGGTTGGCAAGGAACAGCGGGGCAGAGCTTGTTACATGAAGGCTTAATTGATAGAGTACACACACACAATGCACAGTACGTGTTGTGTGTATAGAAGTGATGTTTAAACCTTTCTAATTCATATAGGCTCTTATGTAAATAAAACATAACCCAAATAGGGATTTAAATATTTTTGAAACGATATATAATTTCATGCACATTTATAAAAAAGGAATCGACGTCTACAGTCATTGTTTTAATAACAAACACGATTTTAATAACATTTTCAATGACTTGTGTAACACTGTTACGCAAACAAAGAAAAGAGTTATTGTCCTCATCTATAAACACTTTTGTATTTATAAATAGTTAATTGTAATTGAAAATTGTTTACACATCATTTTATTTAAAGAAATATGTGTATATTTTTATTACAAGTTTATTTAGCTGGTAGAAAAATATTGCAATAAAGTTCATTGGCCTTTGGACGTCATAAATAAAATAGAAGTTGACGTAAACGCAATATAATTAAGGTCAAGAAGGGTAAATACAAGAAAATAGTACAAATAATTCCAAAACCGAAGTATTGTCCTTCGACCATATAAAGGCAGCAAGAAAAACAATGTAATGTATAAATTACTCTTATTGTGTACACGCAAAAAAGGTCCTTAATTAAAGTGGCACAAAATTAAATTCTTAGTTTCTTATTATTATTCTTAAAATTCACCGTTGAATTAATTTTTTCCTTAACAAGGGTGAAGGCCGCGCAGAAATGCAATTTAAGCTGACTATTAAAAATATAAAGAGACATGCAACGTTAACTTTTTGTTAGTGTGTGATGAAAGATTTATTTATTTTCTCTGAAAATTCTAGTACTTAACATTACATAGCCACAATAAAAAATAATGTCTTAATACACACAACGTAGAAAAGTGGTCTTGAATACTTTACAAAACTTGAGCAAAAGTGTAAGACCAAGATTTTTTACACTTGCACTATCAAGAGAGTACATAATTATAACTATATAATGTCATGTCATGTGTTTTTATGTCAATTAAATGTACACTAGTACAATTAATTGACATAAAAACACCAACATAGTCTGGTCTTTTAAAGTCATTGTCCACATTTGAACTTTGAATTTTTGGTCAAGATATTTGTAGGTGATATAGAATATTCCTCAATAAAGTTTTTTTTTAGTGGCTACTTAAAGAGCATACAATCTCAATTACTTTTATGATGATCTCTTAAATAAAATATAGATTTAAATCTTAAATACTTATTATATTTAAGTTCCGTGTACGTAAGGATTGACTTGTTTTAATTTAATTTATAATGTGCCTACGCTTGTATGATTACGAATAACCGTTACTTGAAACACTATTGTATATGAAAGTGTGCCATCGAACTTTAGCGATCGCATCTATATTATTGATAGTTCAAAAAGGCTTTAAGGAAGTAGACGCACAAAAAACTAAAACTGTAAATCATCAATTCTTTATACTAAAGAGGTCAAGGTTTTAATCAGTTAAAACAAATTTTAATTCTGTAATGTAGGTACTGTGAAGCAAATTGTTGAATTAATAAACTAAGTCGCCTTTTAATTGCTGTGTTAAAATTAATGTTTATTACTGAGTATATAATATTGGCTTAAATTTAAATAAAATTTGCAAACATAATTATATATTTATATGATAAATATAAGATCTTTTAAATTGTTTATTATTATAATTTTCAACTTACCGAATGTATGTGCCGCATTCACAACCAAATTAAATAGTCGTTAATTCATCACATATGAATTCCTTTTTAGAAATTAATTAGAGCGCCATTAAATATGACACTGGCAATCAAGATATTTAATCTGTGAACATTGGATTTCGAATTTCGAATTATTTGATATGCAAAACGCGCGAACTTAATTCGAAGATGCCGCGGGCATGCGTTTGACACAAGCGGTAGCTACTTGGTGATTGCAGTTAGTTTGTACCAGCTAGCATTCTTAACCATTACTAGTCAGTTCTGGGCGGATGTCCATTCTGATGCTCGATAGTATCACATAGTACTGTGATCGGGGGAGCAATTCTAAAAAAGCGATATAAGTTCGTTAACTGCTGTCACTAGTTTAATACAAATCTGTCTGGATTTGCGACTTATGCCAGCGTAAACTTTATATCTCTATCACTAGTCTCACTAAAATAGTCCCCATTGTACAATACTAGTTCAACATACCGATTGTCTCCTAAAATGGTCACCTTTAAAAGTTGTTTTTCTCTAGTCTTACATTAGAAAGTATTTAAAAGCTAAAGTTTACGTAACAATATTATATACGTCGCTTTGATATTTCAAAAACCTAAATGTATTTATAAGTAATGTATAATATCTGTCTCAAGATATAATAGGCAGTTTTAATTCAATCATGGCATATAAGAAGTAGGACTATTAACGCCCAACGTTTTGCAGTTCTAAAATCCACAACTTTGTATAAAGCGTTAGCTGGGTTCGAATCTCGGGAAAATATCAAAACCGTTTCAGTAGAAATAAGCAGAGTAACGGAAGTATTCATGTGTAACAATATATTATAAATCTTTGCAACCCATGAACATGTGCCTCTGTGCAGATATGTCACTTACCTTAAATTGTACATTAAATGCGAACCAAAACTACCAAGTACTATACGTGTATCATTAGAGATAACACCTAAATATTTTTGACGTCTTTGACGAGATATACCATATCCAGCCTTTGGAATTATCATATTCCATAGGTATATATAATACTTATAAGTTTTTGTGTTAAATAAACAAAAAATGCAATAAATGTTTCATATTTATTATTAATTGGCATAACACGGTATTACTAACGTCTAACTAATTACACTATATAGAAAAATATTTAATTATTAATTTAAACTTTGTCTTCGCTGATTCCTTGAACTTCGTTGGATTTGTTTTGGGATATGTCGTTCGTAGCGATATCGAGAGAGCCGTTTTTACTTAGACCACATATAGACATCAATTTACTTACAGCATCTCGTTTTCTAATACAATATAGTACAAACATCAGAATTGTTAAGATAATTACAATGATTCCTACAATTATAGGTGCACTTTTGTCCATGTCATCATCAGCATTATCAAGTTTTGCAGTTTCTTCTATCAGGAATGTGTGAAGGGGGGAAAAGTATTCCAAGATTCCAGCTGTAGACAATTCTGTCTCCCCAGTGATGGTTTTCAGAACAGTTCTCCAATTTTCGCTAGCCCCGAGGGCCATTCCGTCACTAAAACGAACAGAAGGTTATCATCATGTGGGAATAATATAATTTACTTTATTAGGCTTTGCCGTACTCGTGCTCCACTACTGATATTTGAGTTGTTAGAAAAAGTTTCAATGAAACACTTTTAACGGATTACAATGCGAAATATACTGTTAACCATCAAGAAGTATTTAAATGTATAGGTTCGTTACGGTATTTTATTGTATTTTTATCGTCTAGGATAATTCTTTGATTCAAATTTGAATAGAATTTAATTGTGGATGCATTATCAATAACGGAAAAAACCTTAACCATCTCCCGCGAATCCTTTTGGCACGAACAATACTAGTGAATATACAATTAAATGCAAAATATAGTGCTAAGATCTGATAACGAAATAACTTCTACCTAACTGCGTAAAATTACAATTTCTTACATTACTACAAATTATACAAATTACAAGTTTATATTAATATTTATTCGCAGGAGACACAATAAATAAAAAAAGTTGGGGTAACATAATTTTATAGTGCATAGCCGCCTATATAATATCTATTATCTAAATAGAATATGTTGGTGTTATCGCTATTCTATATCTTATTTATGTTACGGGCTTGGTTTTAGGTAAAAACCAAACCTATAAAATAATGACTGTAACTGTAATTAAAGATCTATACTAATATTATAAAGCCGAAGAGTTTGTTTGTTTGAACGCTCTAATCTCAGGACATACTAGTTCGAACTGATTTTATGTTGTGTTAGAGCATTTATCAATTTATGTATATCGGTTGGAAAACATTATGCTGCGACAACTAGGAGCGAAGAAACAATGGGAAATATGTAAAAACGGGGAATTTTTAAAAGTTATCTTTGAGGGTTTCCTTTGCGTCTGCGGCAAAAACGGTCTAGATACCCAAAAATATAAATGATCTAAAAATTTCATCAACACTACATGTATGTTGAAAGATAAACTTACAAGAACGACGAGATGCGACCGACGTTGTGGGTAATAGCTACATTTTATAAAGTTGAAGAGGTTTGCAAAAACAAATTTTGATGGCCAAAATATTTTTTACGCGGACGAAGTCGGTCACTGTATACTAGCTATATATAATAAATTATGGACTAAATACAGTTAACAAAATTGTTGATTAACATTAATGAGCTTCCATAGCCATTTTTGATCTTCTTACTTTCAAATATCTTAACAGTGACCTCAGTCTTGAGACGTAGCATTAAAAATAATATCAATAGCAAAATTAGAGGTTAAATCTTGACCTTTACGCAGATGAAGTACCTATTTAGAATATTAAAATTTTTGTCAATGATTCCCTGTTTGTAATAATAGTGCGTTAAGTATATGTCCTAAATATTATCTACTAAGTCTATACCAATATATAAAGCTGAAGAGTTTGTTTGTTTGTATGTTTGAACGCACTAATCTTAGGAACTACCGGTCGAATTTTTGGTTAGAGCATTTATTGAGGAAGGCTATAAAACATCGCCCTGTGACTAATACCAGCGAAGATACAGCGAAAAATGTGAAAACTACTCATCATTATGGGTTTCCGAGGCGTACGCTGCATAAACTTATTTTTAAATGATCTAAAAAACGTCCGCGGCGATATACGTTTTTCTTTTAAGATTAACTTGCAAGAACGACAGGACGTCGTAACAGCTTAAGTGTATAAAGATGAAGGGGTTTGCAAAAACAAATTTGGATGCCCGAAATAACGATTATCGCAGACGAAGTCGCTGACACAGCTAGTGTTGTAGAAATCTGGAACATGATTGACAATCTAACAAAACAAAAGGATATATTTTGGTACACCAATGAACTTCAAATGCAAAATGGCAGTATTGAACGTTGAATGCGTGAATCACAATTCATAAAATATGGTTGTGTTTCTATTAATAAACATATACGCAAAAAACTTTAAACAATCTGGCTATTAAGTACTCACTAATTAGTCAGAGTTATTCTTTATTTAAGTATACTAATATAAAAAGCTGAGTTTGTTTGTTTGAACGCGCTAATCTCGGGAACTACTGATTCGAAATGAAAATATTTGTGTTGGCTTGAACATTTGTCGAGTAAGGCTAAAGGCTATAAGTGTGGTAAAAACGGGAAAAATCATTCAAGTTTGTGAGTTTTCGATGCGTACGCTGCGAAAATGGTTCAAAATACCCAAAAAATATGTATGAAGGAAGTATTCCTATTTAAATGATCTAAAAAATGTCCGCGACGGTATATGTTTATCTTTTAAGGTTAACTTGCAAGAACGTGGCGACCTAAACGTAAGTCACGGCTGGAATTTATAAAGATGATGAGGAGGTTTGAAAAACCAATTTGGATGCCCATAACTATTCTACGCGGATAAAGTCGCACATCGGGTCGTTTATATGACGCTCGTAATATTAAAATTTAAATTTCGAACGTTTCGACCATAAATTGGACTAAAAATGAAAGGACATTTTAACTCAAATGTAGCAAGGAAGTAGTCAAAACATCGAGCGGCACTAAAATTATAATGATGTTACCTGAGCAGTTTTCCCGCTTCCTTCCTTCCGTATATGGAACAGTCGTGCAGAGGACCTGTATGGTTTACCGTTTTGCATAATGAATGTAGAATTTGAAACTCCAGTATGTGCGATATGAGGTATCTGTAAATTAATCTATGCTTAATATTATAAAGTTTGTTTCTACTGTTAGAATTGAAAAATGTAAGGCTTTAGACTAATAACATCACGCTGTGACCAAAGGAGCGAAGATACAGTGTAAATATAGAAAAACATTAACTACTTTTAGTAATTTAGAGGTTATCTATTCTATTATTTAAAAGCGTAATTTTTTAGAGTATGTCTGTTTGATCGCGCTAGTCTCAAGCAATAGTCAATTCTAATTTGTATTATAAGTGAGTTCTAATAACAAAGACATTTTATGCTCTACAATATCAGGCTGTGACCAACAGCCTGATATTGCCTGACGTTCTACGGCTGCTGTAAAGCATCCAAAACAACGGGCTGTAGTTAAAATAATGTTCATTTAAGTTTAACTAATATATATCGCGTTATAAACTGTTATTTTTTATTTAATTCAGAAGTTTTGCAGTCCTGGTCAGTATGTATATCTTCAATGCATGTACAATTGGGAGACATCTGTTAAAAAAGTTATGTATTTAAAATCCACTTACGTAATATATTGGACGTGTGACACTACATGGTACTTCGAAGCTGGGTCTAAATCACTCTCATTACGAAGAACAGGAGGAGAAATTCTCGTCTCTCTTATTCTGAAAACAAACGTATACTTAGTATTTATTAACGACTAATACACATTTAAATAAAATACTTTTAACCGCGCTTGCGTTGCAATTTTCTGACTTAAAGATCAGGGACACCCTCTATCTTCCCTTTCCCGTGACCACGGCTGCTGCAAAGCATTCTGAACGATTTGTAAATGTGTTTAAACATTGTTACTAACTAATATATTTCGCGTTTTAAACCGTAAAAGTGTTTTATTTTCGACAATGCTTTGACGGGCTCATTGGTGCAATGTTAAATCCGTGAAGTTTAATCACGTTTCGGTTTCAGTCTGTGGATTTCCGAATATTTAAAGGCAACATATAGCTAGACAGTATCTTGTTTACGTGTTACAGGTATTTCACCTACCATGAAGTGAACCCTGACCTGACTGTCCTCCTCTAGCATTAAAAAAATTAAACTAACATGACAATTTCTTATACACTAGCTAAACAAGAAAATGTAATACAGATATCTAAACGTATGTATATATACAGAGAGGTATCTCTGTATATGTACATACGTTTATATGTTTACAAGTTTCACTGAGAACATTTTAAGATGTAATTTCAAAAAATGTGTCACAGTAAGAAACAGTTTCTTCTACAATACAAGAAAACAATTTTAAATCTGATGTGTGTGATATAAATTACTTATTAAGTTAGAAACTTTTTTATGTTACATTTAAATGTTTAGCACGAAAATAAATCAACATTATTTAATATTTATCTGTCATATATAAGGAATGTTTGAAATTAATTCTTGCCAAAAACAACAAGTGCAATGAACTATGGTCTTGTCCGTAGCCTTGTTAAAAATGTACGAGAATGCATCCTTATTAGGAAAGACTTGACATTCTTTAAAGAATGCGTTACATGTTACAGCATCAGTAAATAATTCCCACAATTAAGTGTATACAGCGAAAACAATTGCGGTTCTCGGATTCGCGTACTTAGATCCTTGTTACAGCATTTCAATATAATTTTACGAGTTACCAAGTTGTTATACGTAATTAATTTCTATGTCAGTCTTTATCTTATTTTTGCAGAGTTTGCATAACCAGTTTTCCACTATTTCAGGACGTATCTTTTGCTCCCGGTTATTGGTTCTATAATAATAGTTTTGATCGAAGCAAAAATTTGATCAACTACCTTCTTTAAAAATCCTGAATAACAGAATATACTTTCCCCGCGCGAAATGTACAGTTTAAGTATTATTTGTAGTTTAGACGAGTAGAACACATTTAAATAAAACCCTTTAAACGGCTTTATTCGGTATAATATATTAGTTAACTTAAAAATTAATTAATGTCTATCGTTCTGGATGCTTTAGACCATAATTAATATTATTACGCGTTTTAAACCGTTAAGGTGTTCTAATTAAAAGCCAGTTTTATGTTACATTTAATTCTGATAAATTTTACGTTTTGTTTATTTAAACTCGTATCACAACATGACGAAGTAGATCGGCATCGCTTCCAATTTCTATATCTTATATACTTAGTTTTAATCCGTTAAAGTAAATAAAAATATATTAAATGATCTGTTTACAATAATAGTTTAAAAATGTAATAGTCTGTTTCTCTTGTATTAATTGAAACTTTTATTGCTTTCTTCATGACAAAGTGGGTAGATAAGCATGGGCTTCTCTTGACGGAAGATGAAATATCTAAGTTCACCTAACTAAGATGTTCTGTCGAACTATTTAGGCATTGGACTCAGCATTTGAAGCAAATTACGATAACCATCGTTCATGTTTGAAACCTTAATTATTTTTTTACATGTTATTGCATGAGGGCACTATATAATTTAAAAATTGAAAAAAATTTCGACTCGGGCAGGACTTGAACTGGCATCGTCAGCGTTCCGGGCAACAGAGCGACAGCACGGAAGCCTGATGAGGTTCGAGTCCTGCCCGAGTCGAAATTTTTTCAATTTAGTTTCGATTTTTAAACAATCATTAATGTCAAGATAGCTCGTTAAATTTACTAACAGGATGATAATGTTACCTTATATTCCACCAATGTTGGTTCAAATTCTCCATACTAGTATTGGCGAAGACGTCCCATCGCCATTTATCAAGCGCATAGGCGTATCCCATGAGAGGAAACTTCTCCAGCGCCAGCCATAAGAGATGGTTCATGGTAGCTTCTGGACAGTCGTCCACTTTAACGAAATCCAAAGACCTCAAGTGACGTGGCGAAGTCAGTTGGATCGCAACTATGTCGCTAATAGCGTCGTGAAAAGCTGAGAAGGAAAAATCAAGTTTGTATCATATTATCAATACAAATATGTAAAGCTGAAGAGTTTGTTTCTTTGAACGCGCATATCTCAGGAAGTACCGGTTCGAATCGAAAAACTATTTTCTGGTTAGTTCATCGAGAAAATGAAATGAATTTAGAAAAATGTCTATCTTTTATGATTGACTTGCAACAATGCCTTAATTTATATAGATAAAAAGGCAGTTTGCAAAAACGAATTTGGAGTCCATATTTGCTAAATGGTGAAACGCGTTGCCTAAGTTAACTCAAAGAAGCATCAAATACTAGGTTCGATTACAAGAAAACGGTAAAGTATCATTTCGATCAGGCAGGGCACAGAAATCTGATAAACTTGCCTGAAATTAACATTGATTAGTGGAAGGAGCACAGAAATGTGTTCGCCCCATACCCCATAGTCGTGGTAACCTAAGCAGACATCTTGTCTTCTCCGTTTGCCATAGGATTGCAACTTAGCTTAACCATATATAATGCACCCACGTAGTTATGAATCTAAGTTATGAATATTTTCCTACAATAAGTGCAGATATTTATTCTAGGTTTTGTACTAAACAAATGCTTTGTAACCACAGTTAAAATGCCTAAACATACCTAGAATTGCTCAACATCGTGGGTTAGATGTTACTTAGTAGTTATTGTGTTTCTGATTGCTCAATAGATATAAAACAATAAAGATGATTTTAACATTACACCTTGGAAGATAACAAATTTTACATTATTACTTAAATAATCAATTTTAAGACTTAATTATTAATTGACCACAGGATTTCATGTTTCTTTAATTTATCTTTTTTCTCATACTATATAGTGTCTGTATTTCACGTGAGTAGCACACATTTATCTAAAATACTTTAACGGTTTAAAACGCTATACGGGTTGACGTTTCGGATGCTTTAAACCGTTAAAGTGTTTTCTCATACTTCTAAGTTAAAAAAAATATTTTCCTTCGATCATTTCTTTCATCATAAATAAATGAAGGTAATATTAAATTTAAAAAATAATAGACTGCATTCTATAACGACCTTGTAAAACACAATGCAATTCACACTTCACTTAGTTTTTTGTTCCACGTTGAAGTTAAATCTTTTTTAAATTTATCCTTAACTGACTAGCTCATAGTAACGATAAAAGCAGGAAGTCTATGTTAGAACACACCGTATACCTTATTTTGGCACTCAGACCACAAAAATAACTGAAATTTCAATTTCTAATGTTGGCCCAAATAAATAAATTCCGTATGGGTCAAGCTAAATAAAACTGTTTAAAAAATATTATAGGTTTTAAATGATGAAAATGACTTAAATTTAAATGTCGAACTCTTACTTCTCGTATTTCTTATTGATACGAAGACAAGATAAGAAGAACATTCACTGTGGTGCCCATCTGTATTTTTCCGCTATAGTTTATATTGAATACTTATTTAATAAGCCTTATTTAAAATGTTTCTAACTGCTAATCGCCTTTTAAAACGACACTAAGTTAAGCTTATTTACACCTATTGATAATTTTTCATCCTACCAGGATTTGGTCCATCTCTGAACAATGGTTGTAGATGTTTGTAGTGTCGGAAATACTGCACATGGCCCAACAATCTTGCTGCACGTGATAAGCCAACCGCAACATCGGTCACTTTTTCTCCACACCATTTTATTCTGAAAAAAGAAAAGTACACCATTACAAGCAGTAATATTATATACTATAATAATATATCGAAATCACTAAAAACTTGAATAATCTATACTAATATTCTAAATGCGAAAGTCTGTCTATCTGTCTGTCTGTCTGTCCGGTTTTAACTCCGAAACTACTGAACTGATTTAAATGATATTTGGTACACAGATATTTTGCCTTTGCACAAACATGTTTTATTTTGTATATGTAATTCTATGTATCCATGTTCTTATGTCTATGTTTGTGCAATAAAGAGTTTATTATTATTATTATTATTATTTTAGAGCCTAAGAAAGGACATAGGCTACTTTTTAATGCCAAAGTTGATATAGGTTGAAAAAGGGGATGAAAGTTTCTATGGAAATTCGTGGTTTTTTCTTCTTTGGCTTTTTGGAAATAGGAGTGGGAGTGAGAGTGGGAGTGGGAGTTAGAATGAGTGTAGGAATGATAGTGGGAGTTAGAGTAGGAGGGTGGTGAGGTGAGAGTGTTGCGGCAAAGTAGCACTTACAACATAGATCGGCTGCGATAAATGCGCAATTACATAAATTAATTATTTAACAATAAAAAATATATAATTAATTAATAAACAGCCTAAATAATTAAACATTCTACACCAAGTCACTATTCCACGCGGACGAAGTCGCGGGCACAGCTGGTATGTTATATTATAAAAGCCTTAAGAAAAGTAACGAGCAACGAGCCCTTATAATAATTCAATATCATACAACTAAATTGACAGCCACCTTTTCCCCGCCAATAGTTATAAGCAGTTTTACTGTAACATACAAGAAAATATTCATAGTCATTGAAAATCCGTATTCTACTATCTTCGTATTTAAAATAGAAGGTATGTTTTTCTAGCTTGATGAAAGATGAAATACCCCAGCCACATAACATTTTATCAAGATGCTGTCGACCTATTTGTATTTTCGAAAATACACAGAATGAAAGTGAAACGCGATTAAACTTTATAGCTTTTGCATCTGTGGAAGGTGATGGACGTGAACTCAGACAGAATTATTATATACACTTGGTAATATACTTAATACCGAGGATAAAACTGGTAAGTTTTCCTTACTTATAGTTTACACCATCACACATATCGTGGCTAGATGGCAAGCAGTTAGCGGTAGTAGGAACTTCTTTAATATCCTGGTATGCATCGTTTGCGCTTTCAAATCCTAGTGACTGATGATATTCATCTACAGTATCGAATAAATTCTTAGCGTATACTTCATAGCTCTTATCTATTCTAGCTCGCTTAATGTCTGGGTATGGAGCTACACTGGAATATATTGGTTGCCACTCCTGCGCCCAAAGGTTACCTGCAAAGTAAATGTTGCTAATAAGTTTTAAAAGGCAAAATAATTGGTGTATACAGTCTTTTACTGAAATTCTATTACTCATGCTACCTTGGATTTTTTGGTAAACAAACACACTACATGATTTCATGGTTTCTCACGAGGTTTACATTGATTTACACTAAAACACTTTGAGACACTAGATTATATATTAAACTAATGAAACTACATCAACTTTAGTTGGTGAAATCATAATTTCATGCTATATTATTAGAAAATCGTAAAAATTAATTTACGTAAATGGACAAATGTCAACGACAATAGAAGGTAGAAGTCCTACTCATGCATGATCGCTGACAAGCATTACAAACGTCGAGTTAAATAGTAGTGACATTAAAAAAATATAATAAAAGTGATTTTTAATATTGAAGTCCTTATATAAACGTTTTTTCATCCCTGAGTCATCTGCGGTAACATCTTTACCCTATAAAAAGTTATTTCTACTTCTGTATAATCTGAAATCGGCCACATTCGTTGCAAACCCTTTTATTGAAACAGAAGTCCTAAAATATATCTCTAAACAGCGATTTACTATAGATATAAAAATTATACATACCCAAAATATGCCCTGGTATTAACCCATTATCATCTAATAATTCATTTTTATAAAGCGCTTTCAATTTAACTCGTACGTAACTGTGAATTAGGTTATACAGGGGCTTTACTTCTTTCCAAACTCTTTCAACTGTGTTGACAAAGTCATCGTCTTCGAAATTGTATCTCCACATATCACCTGCGTCCTTAAAATTTTCTGATTCAGCTACATTATTCATTCGTACTATGTAGTCTTTGAAGATGGGTCTTACTTTCCTCCCTGTTGCATCTCTGTACGCTTTCCAGTAATACTTTAGCTCTTCAGAATTATTGCTTATCTTAAATATTGCTATCACATCTAGAACATTAACATGCTCTTAATATTCATTTATATATAACATGTTCTAAATTGGTTCATACGAAAAAATGCTTTCAATTTTTTTTCGAAATATAGAACCCTCAAAATTACTCAAACTTAAAAACTATGTCACACATTTACACTAGCTTAAAAATGTTGACACTGTCTGACTTTAAAGATTCTGCAGCAGAAGTCGCGAAGTGCTTGCTGCTCATTACTTATTCACAAGTGTGTAGGCAAATATCAAATCACGGTATGTCCACCATAAACGAAACTTGGGAAATGAGAGAAATGTGTTTTTAGCTACCGATTACTGTATTTCATAGAAATTTCAGCAATTGGGGATTTATATAGGCGTTAGTGAGTATAAGGAATATATAAAAATAAAGTTTTAATAAGATATTATGCTTTAAAACCATGTTAAAGTTTGGACATATCAGTGTTTGATTGAAACTAAAAGCATTATATCGGAGTTTGAAAAATACCACTATGGACTTAACGGGTATTGAAAAATAGCTACAGGACTTACTTGGTTTTGACAAATCTTATATTAATCCCGTAATTAGGGTTGCTTCATCATAATATTTTACTAAACCGTAAAATAAAACACAGATTTTTTTATTACCATGTAGTAGATTAATAAAACAAAATCTAAGATCTCGTCCATTACATAGTATTCGGTCTTTTTTTATATCTTCTAATTTTATAGAAGGAACTATGTCAATCATTTGAGTATGAATATTGATCATACTTTTTCCTTTTTCTAATAACGAAGCACTATTTCCGAAATCGTTTCTATACGAAATTTCGCCAGTTACTTTAATCTTCTAACTAACAGCCATCTTGGACGCTATAATTTGCTGTGATTGGTCAATGTGGACTTACTTGAGTTTGATTTTAACTTATCTATAGACATACCGGAGTTTGAAATAAATCGTCGATTTTAACCTTCGTTTTAGTGAGTTTTTTGGGGACTTACCGTGATTTGGAATAAAGTATCATAAAAACAAGTAAATTTCAAATTTAGCGCCATTCATAGTTCAGTTTCGAGTATGGGTGTGACTTTGATATTTACCTACACAAGTATAACATCTTAAAATTATCATGTCTTCACATACCATTCATAGTTATGCTGCTATCTTCGCTGTTGCACGTGGTTGTATTGTACATGCAGACCGTAACGCGGCTCCAAATGCGTTGCATGGTATCAATTTCTTCCCTTTGCTGTAAAGCAGTAAACTTATTTTAATAAAAAACAACTATTAATAGTAATGTAGTTAATTTTTCATTGTGATAAACATGGGAAGTCTTGGTTTCGAATCCCAGAAAATGCATCTACTTCAGACAGTTTCAGATTTTCTTTTAAAAATCAAATACATACTTTACTTTGAGGCATTTGAACATTTGTTCCTCTCTCTTTAATGATACGTAATTTTCGTTTTAGCTCTTGGTCGTTAGTATTATAAGCTTCATCGAGGTATTTGCTTTTTATTATGTTCCAATACTGTTTTTTAATTTCGTCCTCTTCAGCAGCAATATGTACCTGAAATTTACATATAATAATATACTTCAACGTCAATTGTCAACCTTATTATCCCATATTGCACAAAATGTTTCGTTTTTAAACCGACCATTCTATTCTTCTTTAGTTCACTAATAGTGTCGGTTACGTAGTCCCACAAAGCGTCTTGAGAAGTTCTGCATGCTTCCAAACTTAACTTGTCCATCTCCTCCATGAAGACTTCAAGAGTTACATTTTCTCTTTTTAATTCCTCTAGCTGTATCTTAAAATTATCATCATCATTTTTTATTATCACTGTATCCGGGTCCAATACTGTTTTCATTGCTTCATCTAAGAATTTCTTGTCTTTAATTTCTTCGCCTTCAATTTCTATTTCGTGACTCTCTTCGGATTGATCATATGTTTTATTTGTTCTACCCATGTTTTTATCATCTGCTGACATTTCTGAAGTTGGATTCGTTGGGAAATGAACAGCTACGGTAACAGTGATTAGTGTAAGAAGATAAAATGATAGCTGTAAAAAGTAAAGATTTAGTTTTCCCTTTATTATAAGAGTGTTTTTACATTATCCTCTTTTGAAATCAATATCGCGTTATAAAGGGTAATTATAATCGGTGTAATACATAATAGATACATATACTTTGAAAACAATGCAGCATACAATTGTTAGGACAATAGCATAAACGTATTATTAAATAATAAGTGTTTATTATTTAATAGCTGTCCTCTGTGTTGCGGAGGATAATCCGGTAATGACACTATAAATTAAGAGCGTTTGACAGCCAACTCACTAGATATCTAAATTTCTATTGTTTAATAAAGAAGGCAATTGTATACTTAATGTAATGTAATGTTAAAAAGAGACGAATACTAACGCTAAGCATTGTCGTACGGTATCAGAGTGCGTGACAATAACACAAAACGTAACACAACACTGAAAACATATTTCGATTACGAATTCCAATAAAATTCTACAGTTTCACCTTGTTCATGTTACGTTGCGGCCCCGGCCATCCGATGTTTGCGAATACTGCGTACTGTTTGATCGTTTTGTAATGAACTTTTAGAATTGGAACAATTGAAAAGTTGAATTTGTTTTGAAAACGTGCGACGGTATGGAGCGCGACGCGGGTCGACTCGGACGCCGATGCATTGTTGTGCCATAAACGAATGCCCGGCACAATCAAACCAGGATGTTCACGTGGGACCGGAAGCCATAATCCTAACACCTTATTACCGCTCTTTATGAGACCATTGATTACCCAGTAAGGGCTTGTCTGAAGCCACCATTGTAAGTCAACTATCATTAATCCAAGTAGGCAACTAAGTATACTATTGACAAAAGACTCAATTAGTCGCCTGTGTTTTATCTAAAGCCACATACAGAACAATACGTAGAAAAACCTAGTAGATTAATTATTGGTTTGCCAGACTACATTTTATGAGGCGATAAGCGAAACAAGTGTTCAATATGTTAATAATTTATTCGTAAACAGTGTGAACAAACGACAATAACGTGGTGTGAATTTAATCTTTCTTCAAAAACGACGCTATTTGTTGAGCTCCAGCTTTGTCAATATCTTCATAGCCGTGCGGTTCCAAAGTTTTCTTCGTGCGTTCAAACCATTTTGCGACATTTTCGTGAGCGCTAAAGTCGAAACCCAGAGCCTACAATAAAACAACGGTATTACATGACGCGAGAGGTACATGTATCAATAGGTTGACCAAATGACGATGACGATGACGGAAGCTCAATTGCTTGAGAACGGAAGGCTGTTGATGTCGGTTCATGTACTACCCGTGGCAAAAAATTTTTCGATCTTAAATCGGTTTAAATTTTTGAAGGCATTCAGCCTAATCATATTTTTTCCCATAGAAGATATAATTTAACTGATTTAATCACATAATAGTTTACTAATTCTAATTGATTTAATTATAATTGTGGTAAATATAATTATGTTTCAATGTTTTGGTATTCTTGTTACGTTAGAACATGTTAGTTTATGTTATCTACGGCTATCTATAGCTATAATATATATATTTAACTAATAACATCCTATCGAGAATGTTTTAATTTTAATTGACTGCTTTATAACGTTTAAATAAAACACTTTAACGGTTTAAAACGCGATATATTAGTTAAACTATTTGAAAATGATTTTTAACGTCACCACGGGCCGAAGTTAAAAATCATTTTCAAATAGTTTAACTAATATATCGCGTTTTAAACCGTTAAAGTGTTTTATTTAAATGTGTACTACTCGCGTAAACTATAGACAGTGCTTTATAACGGTTAAAAACTTTCTTAATTAACCCATCCGTCGTTTCCGATCCTTTTTGACAACTACAGTTGTTGAAAAGTATCTATATAGTATAGTTTCCAGATAGTTTAAAATAATTACTAATATTTTTCTCATCGAAAACCGTTGACAAGTGTTTTGTTTAATGTGTAGGTACATGTTAGCGTAAACTAGATACAATAAGGGAAGGTCTCATTTAAGTTATAACAAATTTTCTAAGAGAATTGAGATTTTTATATTAATTACGCTAAGGTGATTCATTTTATTAGGGTAATAATAAATGGCGATTAATAAAATAACCGCACTTCAGATTAAAAATTAAACTTTAATAGATTCTAGGCGCTGTCTCAAAAAGATAAAATAGTATATTATTACCTCTAAGTTACTAAATGTAGCGATCATAGAGATATCTGCGATAGTCAAATTATCTCCAGCGGCAAAAGTTTTGCCGTCCAGCAGCATGTTTAACCACCCCAACGCTTCCGTCAACTTAGCTGCCAACTCCTCATTGTATGGTTCTCCTTTGAATAACATTGGCGCCTGAAATACAGATAAACACATTTAATATGCAATTATATTGTTTTTGAACAAACCCAGAACATATTATCGTTGACAATAAAACGTTATATAATTATATACCTAATATATTTCGCGTTTTAAACCGTTAAAAGTACTTTATTTAAATGTATACTACGTGCATAAACCACAGAAATGATTTACCTTACCTTATCTTTCATTTGAGTGAGTTCAATTGTGTGTGATTTTTTACGAGTAAAGACTTTGTGTAAAAGAAACTGTAAATTCAACCATTTTCTACTTACATAAAGCGCAGAATATCTCGAGTAAAGTGTGCCAAGATCAAATTGTAGTCGTTGATCAACGATAGCCCTTTGGCGTGGGTTCTTTGGATAAAGAGAGTCGTCTCGGCCGTAGGCGTTAACTAAATAAGCCATTATTGCTCGACTAAAATAAATATGTAACAAAAAAATCTTGATTATGTTTATATCTAAAACATTATTAAAAAACACTTAATCGGCTCCCTAACTTAGAAATTAGTGAAAGACTCTAAAAGCCTCTGTAGCGCGAGAGATCCTGGGTTTAAATCCCGGGAAAAGAATTCGGTTCGGTTCTGATAGGGCAGGACACTGAAGTCTGGTCAACTCTCAAAACTCTCTCTGGCCTCTAAAAAAAAGCTATCAGTGAAACGGATAGAGCAATGTCTTAGCCCCATACCCCACGGGGGAATTTCACTATATTTCGGATTACGGTTATAGGACTTACCTTTCCCATAGAACGAACCCATTATCATCCATAGTTGGTATTGTGTGTTGGGGATTCATCTGAAATTTTTATTACGTATTATTTCTTTTATTACACAAATGACCCACCTTGTAGAAGTTGTTAAAAATACTTCTATTTGCAGAAATAATTATGAAAAACAAAAAAAGTTTGCACAGTTCATTACTAACTAGTCGTGGGTAAATTTCATATTATATTTATTATTTAAAGAGCAAATTTCGTGATTGAATACTTGCGCATGATTCCTCTAAGGCGTATATTTTGCGACGGTAATTAAAATTGCTTACTTTCTGATACTCTGGAGTAAGATGTTCGCCTTTCATTATGTTTGTCAGCACCAGTTCTAGATCCAAGCCAAGGACCCTGGCAGTCATCATGACAGCTCTGCAGGGGGGTGATGGTGGAAGATAATATAATTTAATCGGCTGACTTGGCATTTTCCCACCTTTCGACCTCGCTGCTGCGTTGCTGGTACATAATTATTATTAATCTATATTTATTGTTTAACATAAAAAACTTCAAATGTGTTATTATGTATCATAATTTAAAATGATAAATTTAAAATACAAAAAAAAATAGATGCTTGTCGTAAATAACTGCTTAATTTGGGTTACTAAAATGGACTAATTGATAAATTAAATAACCTTCCCTGTAATATAAAAATAATTTTTAGTGGGTGTAAATACTTTTCTCTTGCTATTAAAATACCTTTAACTTTTAAATAAAAAGTTTTTAACGTTTTAAACACGTAATGTATAGTTAAACTTATTAACAAATTTTCATTACGGCAGATTCTTTGCAGCAGTCGTGGTCTTCCGTGACCACGTCTTATTGCGTTAAAAGTGTTTTATTTAAACGTGTAATACTCGCATAAACAATAAAGGTACTTTTAACTTTGTGTGCACTAAGTTAACATTAAATTGAATGACTGTTATTGTTCGTAATATATTTAAGGAGGCAAAAATCGATATTATGCTATTTAAAAGCAATAGTTAACAATCGAATTAAATTATAAAATTTTGGTTAAATACTGTCTATAGTTAACGCGAGTAGTACACATTTAAATAAAACAAGTTAACGGTTTAAAACGCGATATATTAGTTAAACTTATTTGAAAATGATTTTTAACTTAGGCCCAACGTTAACTAATATATCGCGTTTTAAACCGTTAAAGTGTTTTGTTTAAGATTTTGGTTTCTTTTTAATAGCCAATTTGTATTTTTTCAACCCTAACATTTAGTATAGTATCTACACAATATATTGTAGGTATTATAAATAATTGGTAGGTACGCTTTAGCGTGAAAGCTCTACATTAGGTGAAAATATAATGTTGTGTATAAATATATTAGTAAGGATTTAACACATTAGGTTAGGGGTTTGAAAGTATATAACAATTAAAGACACATTTTTACAAACGAGAAAAAAGTATGCAAAAATCGACTCGAAATAACTTTTCTACAAGATCCTAGTTCGGTTAGCGTCTACTCCACACGCCCCAAACATTAGTAAAGATTGAAAATATGCAGATTAGTAGATTACTAAACAACCGTACCCGAGTTTTTATCTTTACTGAGGCATCAAAACACACCGATACGACTTACCCGATATCATTGGCTAAATACAGTAAAGCCAAAAGTACTGTTAGGAATTTCATTGTTCTATCCTTAGAAAAAACAAAAAAAAAAATGTTCAAAAAGGCAATATAGAAATTAAGAAATCGGCAATGCATGGTTAATGATATATCATAAATTGAAATTAAAATATATGTATTTTTACTATGTTTCAATATACACTAAACGTTGTTTTTCTATTAAATAAACGTTTTTAAGCAAAACCATCAACAACTTAGTTACAAATAAACAATAATAACAAACAAATCTAAATCTTTTTTGTAATATAATGTAAAATTGTGGACAGCTTGAAAATTTTAAGTAAAGAAAAATACATTCGAAAGTCAGCCAATTGTAATAATTTTAGCAATAAACTTACTTAGCTGTCCACTTCACAGACTCTGTAACAGATTTGTCCATACATTGGCCCAGTGTTATATTATATACACCTAGCTCTTATAAATGTATTTATTTACCTAAAAGGTAGTTATGCAAACAATAACAACGAGACAGCTAACCCCGTCGTCACTTCAAACACTGGATATAATATTGCTTATATCAAGTCATGTTATGGTTGAGGGAACCATGGCGACGAGGACTGACCATTAAGTATTTGCCAGTCATAATGGAACCAGCGTTGTACAATTATTATGTCATTTTAGGGTTCTGAAGTAAAGCCCGATATCCCCTTTTTTACTGATGGTGGCCTAATGCCACCATCATAAAATCGGAAAACCTACTCGGAGACAATAGGTCAGAACCACTAAACACACCACCAGCCCGCTACCGTGCTTTGAGAGTCGATACCCACTAGAAGTCTATACTAATATCAAAGGCTGAAGAGTTTGTTTATTTGAGCGCGCTAATCTCAGGAACTCCTGGTTTGAATTAAAACAATACTTTTGTGTTGGTTAGACAATTTACCACGAAAGATTTTAGACTACAAAACATTAACCTACGGCAAATAAGAGCTAATAGACAGAGGGATATCTGAAAAAACAAATAATGATTCCTCTTTAAATGATTAAAAAAAGTCCTATAGTCTATACTGTAAGTATAGGCTATCTTTTAAGATTAACTTGAAAGAACGACGCGGGCGACGTCATGGATAACAGCTATGAATTATAAAGCTGGTTATGAAAAATAAATAATAAACAATAACTATTCCACGCGTTCGAAGTCGCGGGCACAGCTTTTAGTATATATTGCCCGGATGTACTCGCATTCCTCATCAAAGGGTGACTAAACCATAGCTTAGTTCTCTTTATCTGAAATCTGACACATTGTAAATAATAGTACCATATTGTTTCCAGTTAAAAATTATTTTACCGCGTTTATACGTTTCGTGGTAAATTATATCTTGGATCCTATTCTAATCGTTTCGTCAATGATATCGATAGTTGGCATGGCAATTATCAAGAGACCAGATACCTATGGGGTTGAAATAAACAATTAAGAATAACTATATTTTATATTCTACTCTGGACTATCATCATACTCAAATATGTTCTTTGTAACACTTAGTATTAAATTGTGTAAGGCTTTCACGGCCATCGTTCGGCATATCTTTATTTTTCTCTCTCATCTCTTCGAGCAATCAAAGAGCTAACAACATCTCCTGATGATGCCGTCCGCTCGTGATGACGAAACGTCGAGAACCCCTTCTCGCTCAAAGGGCATTGTTTACTTGAACATTTTTCACATTATCTCGCTTAACAGTCACACTAACTCAAAGTTATCTATTATTGCTCATGTTTACATTGCTGTACCATTACCCTAATAATGGCCGTATTGAACCCAACTACATTGTAATAATAACAGAGATAGTTTATTATTTCAGCAGAAAGTACGATTAAATGTCATATATCTCTACAGTGTATAAACTATATACGTATTATCTACATCTATACAGCTGCACTTTTTGTCTTTCTGTTTATCGCGTTTCTTTGAAAACTTCTCGTTCTTTACTACCAAACAGAATAGATATATAATTACTAATTAACATCGAGTATTTTATATTATTTTATTGCTAATATAATAATATAAATTAATCATTGTCATTAATGACTTTCAACGTATTTGCATTGAACAATACAGGTTTTAGTAAAAATACTACTTAGAAGCCTTATCCGAAGGTTTTACTTTGAATAGGTAGTAAATCAAGAATTTATTTCTCAAATTCTTTGTCGTACTATCTTATGTTTCAGTCACAATTAAAATTAGTGCAACAAATAATACTTCTTATGTATTATATTTTTAAAGCATACTTTCAATAGAGAAATAAAAGGTGAAAACAAAACAAACCTCTACTGCAAAAATGTATATACAGTACAAAAAATATGACACAATTCGTTTTAAAACTAATTAAATTTCACATCATTTATCGTCCAACACTTCGACGGTGGAAGCACTGCTCGCATTATCGTTGTTCTTCTCCTCGGTTTGTTCTGACGCCACTTCCACGCCATTTTTCTGAACACTCACATCTGGAGATTCAGTTTTAATAGTATTAATTCGCTCACGAGATTCTTCTGTATTGGTGTCCGCTTGGCTTATTTTCATTTTCCTGCTCTTCGAATTCCCCATATTTACCACTCCACTGATCTCATGGGTGACTTAATTAACACTGCGTTGTGTTCGATGATAAAATCTTGATAACGCACTATGTTGGTGTATGACGCGAATGATAACCGCCCGACGCCGAGCAAGTGCGAAAATGCATCTGACGGAATTATTTACTAAAACATAAAGCGGTTACAAAGATAAGGCAATGACACATTGCCCGTTTTATTTCAATGACCGAAGCCACAATCGGGCAGACGAAAAGGTATATAGACTGCGCTGATTGAACGGATGAGACCAGATCTGGAGCCCAATTCTGGTTCACTATCGACAAGCTAGTGAGTGTCGACAAACCATCGAGATGCGAGTTCTATAAACGCTATAACGTCGTCGAGACCACCATTCGTGAGATGCCAGTTTAAGCAGCAGAATTGGGTGCTGATGACGTACTGTTTTAAGAAGTACTTTAATCCATCACTTTGGAGTATTAGTAACATATGTGACACAGTCATGAGCATTACGTAGTACATATTCAATAATAAGGAAGTGATTCAGACGTTTTGCGAATTAATTAATACGAACATTTTTCATTCCTTTGTAACATTTGTTTGATTTGCGACTATTCTTAAGTAAGAATACATTTTAATTACATAAACACGTTTATAATTTAGGCTGGCGTTTGAGACTGTAAAAATGAATGCTAAGTAGATTGTATTTTTTGAAAAAGTAAGACAGCGAATTATATCTTACTGAATTTCAATATTATTAAAATACGTATGTCTAAAACAGTTCTTAATTTGCTTGAAACTAACAAATGCTGTAAAATCTTGTCTTCAATTTCTACAGCTGCAAGTCGTTCTTATGTAATAATGGAACTTATTTTGGAATGGCCCTGAAACTTGGGAACATGCAAGGACACAATTATCACGCACAATACCATTCTACGGGGAACGGAAGTTTTGTATACCTTTATAAGAAGCATGCTTTCAGTAACAATGAATATGTACTGAGACAAAAGGTATTGAAATTCCAGGCTCTTTCCTTAGTCATAATGCACTAAGCGCGGCACGACGCAAGATGATGTTATTGAGTCATCGTAACAAAAATAGATTTTGTGATATCATTTTGAACGAAACGCTATGTGCTTCTGCAAACTTATATTTTATGCTACAGCAAAATAAAAATATTATGTATTTAGTGTAAGTATATAGCAAAACTGCTCCATGGCAGAAAAACCAAAATAAATTCTATGTTTAAATCTCAGGACAATAAGGTGATTATAATCGAGCAGTTTTCGAATGATTGACCTCGCCCATAAATTATATCCATCTGTGGGGACAAAAAATTATTGCCCCATTTTGTTAGATATTTGTTTTGTACAATACATAAAACCATTAATTACTTGTCTATTATCTCTCGAAATGTTATCATCTTTTATCTGTATACTATTCTCATACATACAACATTGCAAATTACGTCAATAACGTCACCAAATACCATTTTGTAATCTGTAATCTGCATTTTGATTAAATATTGTGTGTCTTTGGAGTTTAATCAAAACTATTCCTAATAGTTTGTTAGTTTGAATGGGCTTATCTTAAGATTGAATTAAAACATAATAATTGTTGGTTTTGGTAAGAGCATTTATCGAGGCACGCTTTCGGCTTTAAAACATCACTTGTGTGCACTTTATTTGTATACTATATTAAAGAAATTAACATAATTCATTTATTTAAAGCTCCATATTTTCTTATCGCCGTTTCGACAAACTCAGCGGCTCTTGATATTCTTTCAGGGCTTGTAAATGACCGCAATCCTTTCTCGATGTTTGGTAATGCATCCAAAATTCTAGTATCGCATATCGGCGTCAATGCGCAAGCTCCAAAAGCGGCGATTGTTCCAAATAAAACCAACGGAATGCGCGTTAGTATAAAACTAACACCTCGCATGAAAAGCTCGAAAACATTCTGAAAAAGCAATTACAATGTTGTAATGATTATATAGAAAATTACACCCAGAGAACTATAACTGTATTGATGTGAAAAAAATGTATTTAAAATAATACATACGTAGCGAGCATTTCAAAGATTGCATAAATAGTCGTAAATTAAATTATCTGCATACACCGATTAGATAAAATACTTTTCCCATTTTTTTTATTTACGGTAATATACTGTCTATAGTTTACGCGATTAGTACACATTTAAATACAACACTTTAACGGTTTAAAACGCGTCTCCCCGTGACCAAGGCTGCTGCAAAGCATCCAAAACGTCGGCGTCGTTAAAAATTATTTTCAAATAACTTAGTAATATATCGCGTTTTAAACTGTTAAAGTGTTTTATTTACAGTAATATATCTAAAAAAACGATTTTTTTTTTGAAAATTTGAAGTCAGATACCATAGTTTAAAACCCCAGACAAAAATACTCACAGATATCATAGGGGCTGATACTAAACTCAAATCATTGTTAACTGGATCTGGCAAGTTTTTCTTCTTCATGTGAACGTCTCGTCTTACTGGGTTTAACTCTTGGTTATACCAGTAGGGGTAGGGGCCGTTCTGGAAAATATAGATAAAAACTCTTATCGGATTTAACTCAGTAGCTAAAACTGTTTTTCGTGTAAATAAAATGGTATTACAAGCTATTATTTTTTACGGATTTTCCACGTGAGGAAAGTATTACGTGACTCGGACAAAATTTTTATATGCTTTCCACCATTTAATATCCAGGTTTCAAGATGAAGTACACATTTCAAAGAAGTTATAAATTGGTTAGAAACATTTTAGCCCCGGTGGAAATCGAATCTACGACCCATTTATTAGCCATACATACCTACCGTTAGACCAACGAGCGTAACAAAATTTTGAACACTGTTATTTTTTCTATGAACATTTTTATGACCTTATATTTTGGGCGTGGTATTTTTCATGTTATCAGGGCATTAGTATGACTTAAAAACTAAAAAATTTTGATTACAAATAAGTATTTCCGCAATATTTATGACTTTAGATACCGTGGTTCTAAGTTGATAACAGCATTCATATAATTTGCGTCGAGCAGGGTAAATAATAATTTTCCTAAGCATGACCGTCACTAACTAGTGTAGAATAGCAGAATACCATATATTACCTGAAATGCCGGCTCATAGTCAATTAAATTGCCATCGTCTATACCAAGACCTTGAACATCCACATTTACAAAAAATATATGTGTGAATATTACGAAAATAATCGCGCGCATCTGAAAAAAAAAGAAAACATGTTCTGAAATTTACACGAAGCTTACATTTTTTGTTTCAATCTCTAATTGTAATTAAAGAAATCAAATCTAATTCTTATTAATCAAAGTAATATAGATATTATTGTAAAACGCTTACCTTATTTACTTTAACTTTTATTCAACTAAACACTTAACACTAGGCCGTGGATCGAAATCTACAAAAATGATATTTTTATAAATATAGTAATATTTATAGTTGGAACTATCAAAAACAACACATTACCTGTTGTGAAGCAAATGAAATATCCAAACTGATTCCAAGTTTTTCGGCACTGTATAAATATAATAAAGCCCTTCTTTCCTAATTAGGCAATTAATTTATTCTGATCATAATTATCGATATCTTCTATGTATAGAGTTATAATGTTATTAACGTAATAAGTTATAATTACGTAATGCTAAATCTAATTACCGCTATAAAAGGGAACATTATATTATACTGTATCTTTTCTTACTTGGCATTTTTGGTAAAGAAACACATAATTTATAGGAAATCGTTACTTATCGTTACTACTCACAAGGTTTACATTGATCTACAGTAAAAGCACTTAGAGACAAGGGATTATATATTAAACTAGTGAATTACTAAATTCACTTAATAAATACAAATCACAATCTCATGCTTAAATTAATAAAAAAAAAAAACCTAAAAATTAACTTATGCAAATGTACAGATAAACAATTCTTTACTTTAACATTAACATAAGGATTAGGTGTAAGCAAAGTCAATAATAATAGGAGGTAGAAGTCCCTCATGCTCGATCGCTAAAAATGCAAACGTCGTTAAATAATAAGGCATATATTTTTATTAATAAGTCTTCATACAAGTGATTTTAAATATTGAAGCCGTTTGGTCTATATATAATGGATATTTATTTAACCTTGCGTCATCTGTGGCAACGACTACACAGTATAAAAGGGTCTCACTGGTTCTCTATGAATAGAGTTTAATTTTTTGAAATATTTGTTGTGGCCATATATTTTGTTGTGGTCTTTTGCCAAGTAAGAAAAAATATACTACACGTATACCATTAGGAGTTTAAAAGGCGTGCAAATAAATAAACATAATTCATATTATTACGTATTTTATTATGACATCAATTGATGTCACTACATCAATTGATACTTCATCACTATATATTTCATTCTTCAATACAAAGATCGTCGTTTCCTGGTTCCGACGACGTCAGAAACTTTTTGTATGTTTTGGTATTTGTTTATAGCAGTCTTCACAAAGTCAGCTGCTGTGCTTATCTTTTCCAGTCTTTCCGGTGTTATCAGGGACCTCATCTCTTCGTGAATAGGTCCGACTCCGTTGAATGTTATAGCACATAGGTTTGTGTAGCTACAGACTCCCACAGTTAGTAATGATCCCAGCAGTATAACGAAAATGCTGCTGAAAACCCAACTAATTGTTCTTCCAACGTAACTGACTAACGTCTAAAAATGAAGGAGAAATCTATTTTAGTAGATAAAAGAAAATGGCCCTAATTCTATTTTTTCTTTAATGTATTGTTTTAATACCACCAACTAATATTTTTTTTGTCTTTTTTACCTTTTATGAAAATGAAGTATACATATTTCTTTTTTATTTCAAAAGGTTTCATTTATATAGTGCAAGTAAAAATCTATAAACTGCAATCTAACTATCACAAACAAAATCTAACAATCTGTTGCAGAAAGATAATCGATAAATACTACTACTTTTCATACTTTACAATCATGTGATGTTATTTAATAAAGATCAATTTAAAATTTGTCATATTTACCCTAGAGTTAGGTACTTGACTCCATAGCAAACTGGCAGAAGATGTGTCTGGCTCTAGGAAATAATCACCTAGGCTATTTCCATAAAGATCGTACCTAAAAAAATCTTTAATAATTAACACATCGCGCAGTCACACCTTTAAAAATGTTTATTGTAATATTCTTTTCAGCATTACAAACGACTTTTTACTTTTTTGTGTCTATTTTCTGATCAATTCAATATAAACAACCGACTGGACCCATAACAAATGTTTTCCCGGGACTCGAACCCAAGGCCTCCGACGTTTACTAAGCAACACACGGTAGGTCTTTAATAGACTGTGTATTTTAATAAAGTTAAAAAATAGCTTAGGCTTAATGTAACATTAAACATCCAATGATAAAAACTATACAATTTGAATAATTAAGTTTTAAATATAATAAGATATATATTTTGACTTACGCATTAGCGGCATATGCATTTCCGTAATTATATCCAGGTGCATATGGAATATCGGGATACGCTACTTCACCGGGATTGGTGTATTCCACTGGTAAGTTTTCCTTTAAAAAGTAAAATTGTTTAAAAAAAGAGACAAGCAAAGTTGTTGGTCTAATACTCTAATATGTTGGCGACTTTAAAATTTAGCTTTCGTAAAAAAATCTGGTAGGAATATCGCAATTCGACCCTTCTTTAATATACATGTATTTATTATTTATATTCGCTACAAGAGCCTTCAAACCTACTTATATAAACACATTATTTTAATTTGATTATTCATACTTACACTGGGATTAGTATCAATCAAAACTCTAGCAGGATCATCAGCCAACATATCGTGTTTACCAATCGTCTCCATATTCCTTACGGCATCTATGTCTTTTACTTCATCTTTATTCACTCGGTATATAGGGTGGTGTTCTTCTGACCTTGGTTTCTTATACACAGGATGCGTCTCTACTCCTTCTAAAGCCGGGTTTTGTTGTTCGAGTGGTCGCGGTATTTCGGCTGATAGCACAGAGGCTATTGTTGCGGATATTAAAAGTATTCTATACATCTGTAAAAGGATGGATAATTCAATTGTAATATTTAATACTTGAAATGTATATGTTAACTTATTTTTTAACAGCGGAGCTTGCTTTCGGTGTTTTGCAGCAGCCGTAAAGCGTCCTAAACACCAAATAGTAGGTAATCAATGATATCAGTATTATGATATATAATTTAATTATATATTTCGCGTTTGAAACAGTCAAATTATTAATTTAAAGTGTACTGCCACAGACAATACATGTACCAAAGAAACTAGGCACGGGGGACCGAAGCAAAGGCTGCTGCGAAGCATCAGGAACGTCCGGTAGTAATTAATAAGTTAAATTATATATTTCAAGTTTTAAACAGTCAATTTATTTATTTAATGTGTATTGCCACAGACAGTACACATATAAATAGATACATGAAGTTTTCTTATTCAATATTGCTATTGTAAATAATAATAATTTTAATAAAAACTTACCATTGTCGCTGTTCCTTCCTAAACTGATCCTGAAGATGAACTGTACCAAATGACTCGCTGTGCAACTTTTTATAGTAAACAGACTTTTAAGGGTAACAATAGGAGCTTCCTTAACTTATCTCCCGTTCTTTAAAATAATAGAATACTGTATCTAGATAGCGTTGAATAGATTCGTCAAAACTTCGGAATTCGCAAAGTGAAAAGGTTTGTTAACATTCTTGTGCCCTTACGTTGGGACTTTAAACAATGTACGTAAAATACCATTTCCCGATATACTTCCCTTGAGGCAAACATATTGCCCTACCAGTTTCAATGATCGATTTTTTCGATAGGCACGATTATGATCAAGACACTTATCAAGCAATTGAGAATTTTACATTTAAACTATGAAGATGGTCAATATAAAAATATTCAATCCTTTTTTTTAAGATTGACGTAAAGTGTAAGTTAACTAAACTTCAAAAAAATCCTAGATATAGCGAGAGAAATGACATGCTGAAAGCAACTTTAAGCAAATAGATTTATTTTGTTTGTTTAAATTAACAGCCCGAAAGACAATAATATGCTGATCGATGGCCGTGAAAGCCTTACTCAATTTATTAACGAGACTAAAAGTATCACATTCCCCTGGACGCAAGGGGCGACATATTTCTGTGTCCGTTTCACTTCAAAAAACCCGATTTTTTACAGGCATTTCATCAAACTTTTGTGTCTTGAGTGTCCGAAACGTCTATTGTTTTCTCGGTGTTGGAACCCGTACTGGGTTCCAACACCGAGAAAACTCTCGCGTTAACTTAAGGCTAGGCAACACCGTTTAACCGTTTAGCCACAAAGGCAGTAGTGTAATGGGCATCTTTATAATTTATATACCTACCCAAAAGGAACAATCATTTTTTAAATTGGATTTCATTGTCCAAATTTTTGCAGTTGAATGTATCTATGCAGTTTTTTGACTATTATTTTTAAATTTGACAAAAATATATATACCATGTACCGTACTATTACGCTGCAGTTTAAACTTAAAACTCTCTTGCGCTTTAATTCAAGAGACATTTTTACCTAAAATAAAAACTTACCGTTTAACGTACTCCCAGAATAATCGTATCTCTTCCTCCAAAGTGGTGTCCATTAGTTTCATTTTCACAATCAGCACCAATATTTTTAATGTTTTACAATAGCGTAAGTTAAAATATAGTTCTAGTTCTTAATAAACATACCATTTTGACTATTGTTTACTAGGCAAATTATTATTATTTATTAAATGTTATGTAACCTTTTTGTACAACCTAGCAAGCACACATGTCCAAGACTGGATATGTTTATTATTGGGTCGCCGTAGTGGCCATCAACTCAGGGTCAATCGATGTCCATTCATTAAATAAAGATGATATGATACCTACACCTAGAATTACCTATTCTACAAATGCGGAAACTTTCTTCACACTTATTGATTTTCATGGGTACCGTCAAAGGAATTTAAACTTTGTAGGCATTCAAAAATCTATTTTAGATTTAAACTAACCTCGACCAACTTGCGGAATACTGCGGGTTCGAGTCCCGCCCCTGTCATCGATATTTTCAATTTTAAATAAAAGTATTTAGCATTGAAAAATTTGCTTATTTATTTAAACTTGTGTTTATGTTGTGTAAAATTATATTCTTACAAACAATTATCTACGTAAAATATAAAAAAATATCAGTTAAATAACAATATGAAAAACACCTTACGGAGTTTTTGCACTATAACGCTTTGATTTGACAGCAAGATTCAAACTCTTTGGAAGTAAACGATTAATTAAAAAAAATACAAAATAATAAAAAAAAAATTAACGGTTCTCGTTTGTTATTTTATCTTGACATAAGCTTGACGTTTTCATAATTAGTCGATTAATGTGTATTATACAAATATTGTTAATTTTAACTTTATATTATTTTTGGGAAAATGATTAAAATACCAAAGGACCTGCAATCCCATATAAGTGCGTCGTATCGTGTTAATTCTTTAAAAATAGCAGTTGAAGAATTAGTATGTATTAAGTCAAACACTTGAGAGTATATAACAAATACTAAAATAAAATTTAAAAAAAAAGTCTAGATTGGTGATGTTTATGATAGTTACTAGGTGTAAATAATATATATATATATATATATTTTAGATACATAACGCTCTTGATGCTGGATCACTTTCTATTGCCGTCAGAGTTAACGCCATAGAGAACAGCGTACAAGTAGTAGATAATGGCTACGGTATAAAGCAAAGTGATTTTGAATTACTAGGCCTGAAATACACGACTAGTAAGTTTGTTAATATATCAGTACTGAAAAGCATATCACAATGTTACGGTTACCGTGGCCTGTCATTGGCAAGTATCATCGAAGTCTCTCATGATGTAAGAATAGAATCAAGGTCTAAGGATACTCAAACAACGTTAAGTAAAAGGTTTTTAAAAGGAGAATGTAAGGAAATTAGAGAGACAACTTGCAGACCATCACAGGGCACTACGGTGAGGAACGTTTCCTGTTATTATTGTTAGCTTTTTTGCGCAAATGTCAAATGCTGTAAAGAAATCGTAACCGATGTTTAGGTTATATTAAGAGCTGTACCTTTTATTTTGCAGGTCGACATTCGAGGACTTCTTTACAACTTAAAAATACAAAGGGAAGCACTTGATAACACTCAAGAACTACTTGCGATTAAAATCTTATTGCAACAATTTTCATTAGTCCATGCGAATGTTTCGTTTAGCTTAAGAGATGACTTGAAAAACGAAATACTTTTCCAAATTCATAAAAACAGAGATATAATGCAAACTCTAAAAACCCTTTTCGAAATATCTCCGAATGAAGTACAAGAGTTAAAAGTAGAGAAGAGCACATATAAAGTTCACGCATTTATCGGTAGGAACGAAACTGAATTGAAAAAATGCCACTGGGTATTTTTGAACGGAAAATATATAGTCAAAACAAATGTTCATAAAATTCTTAATAAACATTTTGCGATATATCTACATTTACGAGAGAAAAAACTGATCAAGGTACGAATCACTATACACTTTATCTTATGTACAACGTGTATTGATTAATTTGAAAAGTTTTACAATATTTTCAGACAAAGTTTGCAGAGGAAGTGGTAAATACAGAATTACCAACATATTTTTTATTCATAACGTGTCCGCTTAGTGACTATGACACACATTTTGATACCAACTCAATCGTGATCGAATTCAAGAATTGGGACCAGATAACAAATATATTAGAAAAATTAGTTCAGTGTTATACAGGAAACATCAAATTAAATTCAATAACGAAGCCAAATCAATACGGAGGCAAGAAAGATACAGGCGACCAACGAGAAGAAGTAAAACGTATAATTCACAAAATACTTCAAAAACCACAAAAGAAACAGAATGTGCCTATGTACAACGCTATCAGAGGTATTATTTCAAATTGCATATTGCATTAATTGGGTCTAATATACCTATTGTGCTAAAAATATTATATTCTTTCAGGAAAACAAATAAAAAGAAAACGAACTAATTCTAAAGATAAATTAAAAATTATACGAAGCTCTAGTAATGACATTGAATCAATAAAATCGCGTAGCAATTCTAACAAAATAACTGAGAAATTATTAATAACTAAACCGAAAAATATAACCAACAAACATGTTCACAATGAGGACAAGAGTATACAGAGAAATAAAGATTTTGAATATAACTATGGCCCAGAAATATCGGAATTAAATGCTAATCTTATCTCAACCAATAATCCGGAACCTTTGATAAAAGACAGTTTACCACACTACTCTGTCTACGAAAATGCAGAAAAAGTACACGAAGAAGAAATAGCACAAATACATGAACCAAACGAAAAACAGTATATCTATACAGATCATTTTACGCCCCATACCTCTAATGTGCCCGACTTGACACTTTATAAATTCCAAAAAATGCGTCACAAGTTTATGAAATTTATGACTGAGTGCCAACCATGTTATTACAAAAGCGCTATTACAGAAAATACAACGATAAGTAAACAAAATATTCTTGAACAAGATTTGCAATCGAACTATCATATAAATAAAAATTATAGCAATGAGTTTATTTCTGAGAAGAATAATAAACCTATCGTTACCTCTTACGATCTGATTCAGACTGTTATAGATGATACTAATATAAATTTATGTGTCCAAAGCAATCACAAAAGAAGATATCCGTCATTATTAGAGTACCCAAGTACGTATTCAAATAAAATTATTGATATATGAAATAAATGAATTGTAATATTGATAATCTATAACGTTTTAGAACAACTTCAACAAGGTGTAAGCGATTTAACATACGAGAGTCATCATTATGGACTGAACAGATATAAGAATAAGGTAGATGAGAAAAAAAGATTGGGAAAATATAGACATTTTATAAGTGAAGGCTATAGAGAAAGTTTACTTTCAAGAAGTAAGGAAAATAAGACCAAATATCAATGTATTAAACAGAAAATAAACACCAAAACAAATAAGAATTTCATGTTAAACACTTTGAAGTCGATATTCAATCGGTCTCGTTACACAAAACAAGATATTAAGAATAAACCAAGGTCTCCCGCCACATACTTTGCGCCACCAGAAGCATCTAAAAACTTTTATTCAAATTCTATTGACGAGACATTTTGTAGATTTAATACTATGGTAAATTCAGTGTTAGAGGATGATATAAGAATGGCTAATTTTGGAGCAACTTACACAATTAACAATGTGGTCTCCATGTACGACGGAAGCAGCATTCAAGCGAAAAGTAATACAGAATATCAATTCTCTTACTCTGTACAAACGTCAAAAATATATTATACGGAAATAGGTAATTTACAAAAGGTTAATCAAAAGCAAAGTTCTTCCATCCACAAACATATTGAAAAAAATGAGGAAGTTGTTAGAGCATATGTTAATGATAAGGATTGCACACGTTCAAAAAATATTCTTAAAGACGAGGATATATTAGAAAGACACGTCGACACTGAAACTGTTTGTGCCAATAAGGTTTTCGACCCACTAAACATCTGTGAAACTATTTACAGTGCATCAAAACCGGACGAACATTTAAGTGTAAAAAGCAATGAACGTCATGATATTGCTGACGAAAATGTAATATCCCACCATTTCAATACAGAAGAAATTAATAAAGTGTTTTTAGACACATTTCGTTCACCCATACAGAACAATGAGACTATGACGAATATCAACGATTTAAATTCGTCTAAATTAGTACCAAATTTTGAAAACGATTTTATTATTAAAAGCAGATATGCATTTGTACCTAAAGGTAATCTTAATAAAACAATATCTCCCATCTACCTTTTACTTTGATGGTGAATAAAAATACGTTTACATTTTTTTAGGGATATCTCCAATATTCAATAACTGTGGACGAAAAACGATAAAGGAACGGAAAGTCAACTTAGATGAAGAATGTTACAAGGATGTGAGTATAACAAAAGTGTTATAAAATTGTTTGTTTTTTTTAAACCATCAGGCGAAAATTGATTATTTGCAACAGGAAGAAAACACGTCTTACCTTGCTAATAACGTTTTAAATTAAAGCTAAAACTTGATCTATTTATTTGAATTTCTGTTTCAGGCAATTTATGAAAACTTCGCAGAACTAGTGTGTGACAACGCTGAAATATTTGAGCCGAAAATTCAAAACGTTTACGAGGCTGCAACTAATGATATCAACAAAGCAACAGAAAGGATTAAGAAGGACAACGCTGACCTTTTGTTTGATACACAATCGATTAAGAACGCCCAAGTATGCATTATTTCAATATCTAAATTTTAAATACTGTCTCTAGTCTACGCGAGTAGACTTTTATTTAAATATGTACATATTTAAATAAAACATTCTAACGGTTTAAAACGCAAAGGGATGCTTTCCAGCAGCCGTGGTCAGGGAAGACTGCAGAGCATCCGAAATGCATCCGCAAAGCATCCGGGCCGTAGTTAAAATAATTTCCAAATAAGTTTATATATAATATATCACGTTTTAAACCGTTGAAGTGTTTTATTTAAATATCTAAATGTTCTTAAATTTACTTCAAGATCCGTCTAAAGAAATTCTCTTTTAGGTACTGGGACAGGTTGACTGTAAATTTATTGCAGCAATACTCTCAGGAAAGGCAGTAACCAGCAATACTCATTCATATTATTTAGTTCTATTTGATCAGCATGCGGTACATGAAAGAATACGGCTTGAGCTTAGTTTATCAGGTATCACCGCTACCTAAGCTGTCAAAATATTTATCTCCCACTTTCTACTCATTTAAATTCTCTTATGTTTAAAGATTATATTAACGGCGCAATATGGAAAAGTGTAAATGTCGACAGCATTTCCTTCAAGCTCTCAAGAGAAGATGCAATATTTTTACATAATTACAAAGAGAAATTAACAAAATTCGGCCTCGAGTGGACAGTTATTGATAATGGCATCTGTGTTAATGGCATACCAGAAGCAATTTTGGGCAAAAGTCCAAGACAGGTAAATATTAGCAGCATACACACACTTTTGTCATATTTTGTATTTTATAAAAAAGTCGTTATTGACGTATTTTGCAAGAATAAAAATTTGTTAGCAGCTGCGGGCTGTAATAAATACATTATTTAATCTCCTGTTACAGGTTGAAGTGGTACTGAAAGCGACGAAAAATTTGTTTACGGAGCTTATTCATGCATTAAAGACTCTGAAGGGGAACATTCCTTTATACCCAAAATCTATTATGGATCTCGTATTTAGTGAGGTAAGTGGATTTTTTTGTTGCTTATTAAATTGCTTTGTCAAAAATGTAAGTCGAGTGTTGTTTCAGGCTTGCAGATATGCAATTATGTTTGGAGACAGTTTGTCAAAATCAGAATGCACTGGTTTGATAGAATCATTAGGATCATGTAAAACGCCATTTCAGTGCGCTCATGGAAGACCAGTCATGGCAGTTATGATGGAACTTGCAGAAAATAAACTAAAATATAAGGTGGTATACTTTTTGGCTTTATTTGTTGGGGTTAGTAAGTGTTGATGGGACGACCAACTCTAACAGCAGTTTACCTTTTGTTGACAGATAAATATCGGCAAAGTTTTACAATTTAAACAAAAGCGTAAAAACAATGAAGTCGCTTCTAGATAAGGCTTTTATTTACATGCATGTGATATAGAAATACAAAGCTATACGTTATTCCGTCTTGTATTATTTACTGATGGCAGTGAAAAGTCAACAATTACATTTTGGATTAGTCTTGTCCATTATCTCACGTATCCAGTCAATGTAGAAGCTAATACGTGTATGAACGTCTGGAAACCCGACTGCGCACGGTATTCCCCACGACACTAAGCCCACCAATTTGTTATTCCGTACTAACGGACCCCCGGAATCGCCCTGAAATAGGAAAAAAATGATAAAAAAAATATTTTAATCAATTGTTTTTTTATCTAAGGTTCCAAGTGTAACAAACTAAGTTTTATCAAAACTACGTATTTTGCGAAGAAAAATTATATATATATATTCAGTAGATAATAAGGATAGTTTCCTTATTATCTACTGAATATACATATAATTTTTCTTCGTCATAGGGAAATTACTTTAAATAAAGACTAATCAAAGAATGTAGCATTTCGGATTTGTAGTTTATATGTTTGTAAAATAAGTTCGTTCGTTAGTTGTAAGGATTCGTACCTATCGTAGGGGGCTACGGGACCCCCCTACAATAGACGAGCGACATGTGCCTATTTTATTAAACAATTTTATTTAAATATGTAGAGACTTCTATGTCGGCCGAAACAATTTTCCATGTCTTAACCCGATATGCGCAAGCGCATTAAACGATAGCAGGTGTCGAAATTTTGCGTTAAAATAGACACTCACATGACAAGTACCTTGTCCAATGTTAGTAAAAGTGCAAAACATAGTATCATAGACTTTCCTTGCATATCGCATTGCATATCTGCAAGTGGTCTGATTAAAAACTGGAACTTCCAGCATCAACATTCTTCGGCTAGATTCGCCATTTTTCTGTAAGGCAGTTTATATATAAACATATAACATACAAGAAATGATAAACATCAAAAAAAAAAATACATTTTTCACGGTTCTCCCTGTTACTACTGCTGCTACAAATCTTCCGAAACGTAGGGCCATAGTTAAAATAATTGGTAAACCTTTTGCGCTTTAAACCGTTAAGAGTTTTATTTAAATGGTGTACTACTCGATTAATCTACAAAAAATATTTTATAAACATTTTAGGAAATTCTCCTCTTTTGCCCCAAATCCTGTTAAGATCAGTGTATCGCCTTCTTTTAGTTGTGTTCTGTCCATTTTTATCATTTCGGCGTATTTCAAATTCAACAGCTCCATCACCTTTACGACTGCTATATCATGAATTCTAGTGGTTCTATTGTATTTAGGATGAATATGTATTAATTCAACATCATAGTCGAAACCTGGAATGTCCAAGTCTGTCGTTCCAACAACTGCTTTTATATATGACGGGTTTGCACTGAAATTACATTTTGAATTTTAAACAGTAGAGTGATAAGCAAATTATAGAAGAGTCACAATTAATAACATGCGAGGTATTGCTTATAATCAACAGGTCTTGGATTCGATCCCCACCAGGTCCACATATTTCTAATTAATTCATAACCTTTCTAAAGCATATTTGACCGAGACACGAAGAAGCCGTGGAGTTTAATCATATACCGGTATCAGGCTGTGGACTTCTAAATAACCAAAGCCAAGGTCGACAACGCATTTTGTGTGATGTTATATCACTGAAGTAGTGCTCTTCAAAATAAAATTTATTGTACCATATCTTAAGACATCTTAAAATTAGATTTTTTTCTTATAGCTCGTAAAAATTTTATTACGAGCGATATACTATCAGTATACACTATCGTGTCATCTTACGAATTTACTCGCACACCTTTCGCAAGACTTTTAAACACCAGTAGCTTATGAATAAGTATGTTATTGGTAAACATAATTTTTAACTCACCCAATAAGACAATGCGCTGCAGTAACGATATGCCTGTGAGAAACAACTGCTCCCCCACAAACATGATGTCCTGTGAGGTTTTGTAATGATGCATGAAAACCACCAACCCCAAGTGGTACTTTGTCACCACCGACTAACCTAGATTCTCCTAAAACGCGCAATTGTTAACAACTTCCAATATAACAAACAAACTTTATGGTAAAACACTAACCTTGCACTTGAAAAACAAATGACGACACACAATACAAAAGGATATATAATAGCATTTTTTAATTTTTAATTTAAAAAATACTTTGGATCTAATAAGTCAATAATTATTCACGTGTTGATAAACTTGTCATTAATAATTATTAGTTTTAATTGGAATTTGATTTTTATCTTGATAATCAGACGATAATTTCCACTGGAATTGGCTTCTTACGTATCAATGTAACGAAAACGTACATAATTTCAATCTATATAAATGTCACAAATACGAAAGTAACTCTGTCTCTTTGTCTGTCCGGCTTTTAGGTCGAAACTACTGAATCGATTTAAACGAAATTTGGTACACAGATATTCTAGAGCCCGAGAAAGGACTTTTTAACGCCAAAAAAGGGTTGTTAGAGGTTGAAAAGGGGGATGAAAGTTTGTATGGAAATTCGTGGTTTTTGAAGCTAGAATAATGAAACATTCTTCTTTGGCTTTTTGGGAATGGGAGTGGAAGTGAGAATGGGAGTTAGAGCAGGAGTGATATAAGGTGAGAGTATTGCGGCAAAGTAGCACTTACAACACAGAATGGCTGCTTTATATGTGCCTTTTTCCTTTTATAAATTAATAAACAGCCTAAATAATTAAAAATGCTACCCAAAGTCACTATTCCACGGGGGCGAAGTCGCGGGCAGAGTCTTATAATATATCACATTATATTATTGTAATATTCAAAATAAAAAATATTTTTTGGTGATTAAATTTTTTTATCAAAACAAGATGAAGAAAGCTTCTTTCATCAAATGTTGCTAAATAAAAAAATAATCATTTTGACGAAGTCTAAAAATAAAAGACATCCCTAAAGTGAGAATTTATTAGCTCTAGGAAACCAAAATAAAAAAAAATCTTAAAACCTAAGACTACAGTGTCTGTTTGATAGCTACAGAGGAAGTACTATCTGATCTTAGTATATTCAACGCAACGTGAGGGGTCTGTGGGAAAATACTCTTGGCACTTGGTCATCAATCTCTTGAGGGCTTGTATGTACTTCCTTTGAGTCTCGTCGTTCATCACATGAGCTACATTCTTTGAGAAGATCTTTTCTCGACCAGTACGTGCGTGGATGCCCACCATGGTTACTCCGATGGGCCAGGGAGCGTTGCCTATAGCCATTTGTAGATAGTCATCGCTAGCCTGGAAAACATTTCTTTTTATAATGCTATGGAAATAGGAAAAAAGCAAAATTAATTGCATATAATTAAAATTACAAATTACAGTTAGTGACCATTTTAGGGCAGTTGTTTTGAAGTCTAACATGGAAAAATAATATTGACATATGCATAAGGTCTTTAAAAGTTAGAAATAAATCTATGTATCTCTCATTTATTACTATCTACTTATTTATCTATTTACGGCCGTACCCAATAACGTATTGTCAGTCAATGACGGATAACCATCCCTGATAAACAGTAAAAGTTAAAGTAACTGTAACTGGCGTTTCAATTTTTTTTTTGACGTGCCTATCAAAGATTAAAGGTAGATAGAGAGGCTGTCATAGGTTAGCCTTTCCCTCTCAAACGTTCCGTTTTATACATCCTACTACTACTACACAATACTACACAATGATGATTATAAATGGCGATAACAGCAAATTAATAAATATTTTGAATATTATTTATTTATCAAATAATCTAAATATGATTTTGTTAACCTTATAAAGAATATTTTTTATTGTGCCTCTCAACAGTCAGTTGATTTAATTGTTGAAATGTCAAGCTATCTGTGAATATTAAAACGCAAAACTTAAAGAATTTTAATTGTCAGTTACGATTGTCACTTCTAGTTAAATGTTAGTTGAATATTGGGACCGGCCATTAGACTGAAACATTCGAAAACACGATAGAAACTTAAACCTACGATCACCAAGTCTATGCTGTTACTCTCCCAACTCATGTGTTTCTCTGGTTCTCATGGAATATACAAGCAAGCCTCACACAATGCCAAGTGTTTCCTTTATAAGCTTGCCAAATATATTTCCCGTTAAAATAAAATGCTAGTAAAAATATGATAAGCTGACGTACCATAATGTAATTTCTTTCTAATAAATGTTTACAGATCTCCGTTAAACTATCGCAAATATCATCTGGTAAATTTTTCTTATTCAACTTTCTCATCAACGGTTTAAGGTACACTTGAGTTTGAGTGTATGTAGCTCTCGTCATTTTGTGTTTTGTAGACATTCTCTCGGCAGCAGTTGCAGAATTTAATTGTTGACCCCAAAGGTTTAGTAGAAACTGTAATTCAATTTTAGATAGTTTAGTAACAGTACATTATATTAGGTAAATTAGTGATATATCTTTCTGGTATATGTATAGTATAGTTCTGTGCAGTGTTGAATTAGAGACACTTATTAACCCAGTTACTTACCATTACATTGATACTATACTTACTAACTTACTTAGAGCCAAGTTAGCCCCTTGATTATAATTTACAAATTTTTGTATTTATGGTTTAATGTGGGAAATAAAATAAAATTAATATCAATATACAGAAGTTTTGTGAAAATATGACATGAATCATTAACATAATATGCTAAACTCTAATATTTTCTTAAGTAACTCTTACCTGTAATAAAGTCATAATAACATTCATGTCATGACATCTATCCCCTTGTCCCATTGTTTTTGCCATCTCCTGTATGGTGTCATATGTCACAGACTCATCTATTGCTTCTTCCTTTTGTAACTTTTCAATGTCACTCTGAAATTATATTAGCTCACACTTTATTATATTATGCAAAATTTATTTCAATTAATTCTAATCAAAAACATATACTTATCAATACAAGAATTGTGAACTAGACTAACAGACTGAATGGTTAAAAACATTTTGCCAAGCAATGAGTTCAACCATTGCATTAACTTTTTAAACACAGTGCCTAGCAATGCATTGGGTTGGGGTCCACTGTAAATTTTGTTACTATAAAGTTATTCATTTTTTGCAGACTTATAATTAAAAATTATCACTAACCTGAGCTCCTAATGCCAGAATTTCATTGAGATAAGCCTCATCCACTTTATCCATTGCTTCTTGGAAGTCATTTCTGAATCCCTGAAAAAGAGAAAAGCACATTTGGAATGAACAACAATTTAATTTATGTATTAATTGTATATTGTTTGGCAAAATTGAACACTTGGGCAAATTATGAACTGATGGTGGGCCTCCAGAAGTATATGTTATTAAAGACAATAAAGAATTGATAATCATTTATTAAAATTGAAAAATAATTTATTGATTTATGAGTACTATTTTTTTCTATCAGCGGGCCACCAGTATTCAACTGGCAGGCCTCTGTCTGTGCATCTCTGATTTAAAGTTTTTCATTACTAATAATAAAAAAAATAAACTTGTATTGGGACTATGAGACTACTTCCCATGTTCATTATTAGGGAGTAATTGCAAATATTATTTTGTGGACATCTATGGCCGTCAAACTGTAAGACTGAACATCATAATTAGGTAAAGCATTGCACTTGCCCTACTCTGTGAAATGTTTATTAAATATACATGCCTTATTGGCTTCAGGTTCTAATATCTCTATTCTTCGCAACCTCTTAAAAGACTGTAACTCAGTCTCACCATACAGTATAATTGGGTGTCCACGTTCTCGTAATCTTTTAATTACTTCATTTCTAGGCAATGTTGCGTTTTCGCTTTGGTCGCTGTAATGTTTGTTTTCTGGAAAAAGCGCGTGTTTAATAATGCTTCCTTTTTAGTCATTATAACTCAAAGAAAGATATGTTACCTGATTCGCTTTTTTCAGTTTTATCACCATCGATACTATTTTTCTGTGGTCCATACTTTTTCAAATATTCCTCTTCTTCCTTCGCTAATAGTACGCCTCTTTTAAAATACCTCTTCGATGGGTCCTAAAATACATATATGTAAGTAACTAACATTATAATACCTTTTGAATTGTTTTTTTTTGTTTCGTTACCAGAATATTTCTGTCCTCTAAAAGTTTTCTTTTTCGTGCTATTTCTGCTTTTAAAATATCCATTATTTATAACAATGAACAAAAATACAAACAAATTACACCACTAAATCAACCACAGAAATTGTCATTACCAAAGAATATACTACGTCACTATTTACTACCAAAGAGTATAATTTTTAGAACTGAGCCCACAGCGTCAAGCGAGGTTCGAAATGCTTGGGATTTGGGATACACGGAAGTATTTCTGCGCGTTTGCCAAAATAGAAAACAAACTTATCCAAAGATATCAGTTTAAATGTTTAGATCTGTCAATCTAATTCACTTTTTATCTAAAAGAACGAAAAATGGTTTTTAAATATATATGTAGTCATTACCGTTACGACCGATACCGGTCACGACCAATATAAGTACTCCGTTAATTTGTTCTTAACTTGACAAGTATCGTGGAATTATTTCCTGCCATTGACTTTACTGTTTACAAACATACAAAGTAGTAGTTTAATTTGTAGTTGTATGAAAAATATGCTTCATTATTATAAGAAATCAAGCTAAAATTATTAAGTACCACAATAAATTTCAAGTAACTACTATTAGTGCAAACTGTAACTTGTATGGATCATGATTTTAAACTATTTATCTGCTGCTCATCTTCAAGATTGTATCTATATTTTATCCCAGCACGACGATTTATCTTATTACAGTGTAAAAATAGAGTAAGTTCACATAGTGACAATCTCTAATGTTACTCGTATTGTATTATAATTCCTATTTCTTTTATTTGCAGTTTTCTTAAGCTATTTGAATCACATCCAGATGTTGGTGACAAGGTTTTATGTAGTCCTATTGAAACATTGCCTATTTGCAGTGAAGATATTATAAAACTGCAAAGAAATATCTTAGAAAATGCAGAATATTCGCACTTAGTGTCTAAGCTTAATCATTGCAGTTTAAAGAAAAATGTTCATGCAAGGTTCTTTGGGTTACCAGTCTGTCCAGAATTGCACAGAACTATATTCCCTAAGAATGTGGACTTGGGATGTTTTTTGAGAGTAAACGGTAGGAATTAGTTTTTGCCTGAACATACTTAATAAGTCTATTCTAGATCAGTTAATAGTTTTAATAAATTAAGAAGTTTTCATGCTTGGTGCTAAATTAAAATTGAATTCATCTAATTATTTACTAGGGACAGTAGTAAGAGTAACACAGGCAAAAATGTTGGAATACCAAAGGAAATATGTTTGTGCGAAATGCAAATATGAGAACATAATAAAAGCAGATTTTGAAAACAGATATATCGTCAAGGCCCCAACTAAGTGCAGAAATATTGAAAATAGATGCAGATGTTCTACATTTACACAAATCAATCTTGTTTCAAGAGAATATTGTAAGGATTATCAGGAAATTAAAATACAAGTAATGTATTTGTGTTTGGTACAATAAAAATACATTTCTTTACTTTTTTTAAGTAAAGCCAATTTTAACAAAGGCCATCTTTTAGGAACAAGTAAACAAGCTTAATATTGGTACAATCCCAGGATCTATGTGGATAGTTTTAGAAAATGACTTGGTGGACTCATGTAAACCCGGTGATGATGTTATTATCTGGTAAGACCTTTGTTACAGTAATGTTTTTTTGAGCAGTGACAAAATCATTACATATGACAAAAGCTTCACACATGTAGGTATGTGTCATCTTAATGAACTGACTTTAACAATTGGCTTCAACAAGAGAAAACATATAACGCTTATTAAAACATTTTAGTGGAGTTGTTCGTCGGCGCTGGCGTCCATCTTCACAAACAAAACGATCTGAAGTGGAGTTAGTATTTCATGCGAATTACATGGAAGTTATTAACGCAGAGCGATCAAAGGTTGTTGCCGCTGCACCAGATGTCAAGGATTGCTTTAACGAGTTTTGGTCAAAATATGAACAGTGTCCTTTAAAAGGACGAGATCAAATTCTTTCCTCAGTATGCCCACAGGTAACTTAACATCAATTGCTATATAACATATAAACTACAATTATAAAATAATTTATGAAAAGAAGTGGCAGCAAATTTTGCCACCCATGACTTTATAATTGTTAAGTTTAAGACTATCTTTATAGGGCAAGAAATTTCGTTAAAATTGTATTGCACATCGAAAGATGTCTCTTTTCAAACTAAGAGATTTTTCCTCACCAAGATTTATTTCTTTTTACACTAAGAAGCATCTCTTTTTACACTACAGGCGTTTCTTTTTACACCAAAAGGTGATTTTGTGTAAAAAGAAACGCCTGATTCGGCCTTTTTTTTCATACGCACAATAAGAGGTGATTCTTTCTACACCAAGAACTGTTATGCTATTGCGTAAAATATGTTGCAGATGTATTTTTAACTAGCTGAGCCAGCGACTTTGTTCGCGTACAATAGTTATTTCAGGTATCCAAATTCGTTTTTACCCACGACGTCGGTTGCCTCCCTTCCCGTCGTTCTTGCAAGATCTATTACGTCCTATACGTCTATCTCTTATCTTAAGAGATAGACGTATAGGACGTCGTGGACTTTTTTTAGATCATTCAAAGAGGAATCATTCTCTCATATATATTTTTTGGGTATCTTGAACCGTTTTTGCAGCGTACGGATCTGAAACCCATAATGATGAATTCCCAATTTTCTTCTCATTTCTCGCTGTATCTTCGCTTGTATTCACAGGGCCATGTTTTATAGCCTTCCTCGATAAATGCTTTAACCAACACAAAAATAATTTTCCAATTCGAACCCATAAGTTCGCTCCCAACAAAAAATTGCTTCCTTAAGCGAAATGCATGGCAGACTACGAAATCGGCCCTGAAGACAAAAAAATATGAATTACTTTTTAATATCATATTTCCATGAAACATACAGTCTACGTGTGTGTCAGTATATGTATGTCATAATAAAGTTAATAATTGTTTTTCCAGGTATATGGTCTACATCTGGTAAAGCTGGCTTTACTTTTAACAGTAATCACTGGTTCTAACCATGTTATAGAAAGTGATAGTGAGAAACAAAAGGTAGAAGATAATTATACCACCCATGTTAGAGGTCAATGCCATTTGCTGTTAGTTGGAGATCCAGGTAACTCTTTAGGGCGTTTCTTATTGATGAAGGCAGTTGACTGGCAGTGTTGACTGTATTTTTCTCATTCTCTTTCATTGAAAACCTTATTTTGTTATTACTATTGGGGACACCAATGAAAGGCCGGGTGATCAGACCACATTGCCTGCTGACTATTTTACCAATTTCCTCATTCTGTTTGCACTTAGGGCGTGAAGGTCCCTGCCGACTTCCATCATTGTAAGATGTCTGTTTAAAGAGTCGAATGTTAATTGAAAACTTGTAAATATTTTTTTTAATCATTGACAGGTACTGGTAAATCTCAGTTGCTCAGGTCAGGTGCTGACTTGACTGCTCGCTCAGTCTTCACATCCGGTGCAGGTAGCACTAGAGCTGGTTTAACTTGCGCAGCACTGAGGGTAAGTACACAATGTATAAAAGCGAAATCGCCTTGGGGCTGAGGCGAAGACGTGACTGTGTCTGTTTCACGGATCGGTTCTTTTATTTACAGACAAGTAGTTGATGTTTTAGTCCTGTCTGACCGAAACAATTTATTGTTGCCCTGGGATTAGAACTCAGCACTTCTCACGCTTAACGCAATGCTAAGCAACACCTATAACCATTTAGCTACAGAGGCAGCAAGTTACAATGTATGCATCTTAAGTAATTAAAGTCTTACTGCATTTTATGTTTTTGGACACTGCTTTAAATACATTTTTTTAATTTTATAGGAGGAAGGTGAATGGCAGTTAGAAGCAGGAGCCCTAGTTTTATCAGATGGGGGAGTGTGCTGTATTGATGAAATATCTCATCTTCGTGATCACGACAGAACAGCTATACATGAGGCTATGGAGCAACAAACTATCTCGATAGCTAAGGTTTTTAACGTTTTTAAAAAAGGCGGAAGGTTTTTTTAAAAAGCCACCCTTATCTAAAGAAACTGTCTATAGTTTACGCTAGTAGTACACATTTAAATAAAACACCTTAACGGTTTAAAACGCAAAATGTATTATTTAGCTTATTTACATTTTACGCAAGTAATACACATTAAAAAAAACACCTTAACCTTAACGGTTTAAAACGCGATATATATATATTAGTTAAAATAATTTTCAAATAAGTTTAACCAACATATATCGCGTTTTAAACCGTTAGTATTTTATTTAAACAGCCTTATCTAGTAATAAAATTCCTTTATGATAGTTAATCTGCAGGTAGATACTGGAGGGCTAAAGGTACGATTGATGTACCTTAACACCTTTCGACCACATATCACGGTTTGCTACAAATGTTAAATATAAACATTGCATATAAATATTAAAATAAAACATAACGGTTTAAAAAAAATGTAAATAAGCTAAATAATACATTTTGTGTTTTAAACCTTTACGTGTTTTATTTAAATTGATACTATTCTTGTACACTATGGAAGATACTTATTATACCAGTATTTGTTTTGTTTTTTAGGCGGGAATCGTATGCAAACTAAATACCCGTTGTGCTGTGATAGCGGCTTGCAATCCTAAGGGTCACTATCAGACCGACCAGCCGCTAAGCGTTAACGTGTCACTTGGCACACCATTATTAAGTAGGTAAGATTATCTTGATAGTTTTGTAATAAACAACTGTTTAGTATGTTTAGCATGCTTAAAACTCTGATTTGTTCGCAATCCCTTCTTGATTAATAGAGTAAACAAAAAATGTACAGTTTTGAAGTAGGAACTCTGTATTTTTTTTATTACAAGCCAACAATGCTAAATGTTAAGATACTGAAATTACATATTTGCTTTATAGCTTAGGTTTTATATTTCCTCCTATTTTTATGTTGAACAATCAGGTTTGATCTCATCTTCATCCTATTGGACTCTAAAAACCAAGAATGGGACAAATTAGTGTCATCCTATATATTATTCGGTGGAAATTCATCTGATTTTAAAAAAAGATGGACTATGGAAAAATTACAGGTAAAAAATATCTTCACAATAAAATTTCTCTGTTAAATCAAATTAGTTCTATGACATATCTGTATGGTTTAAGATGTACATCAGCCTCATTGGGCCAAGAGGAATAGAGATGACGAAATCTGCAAACTCCATATTACAACAGTACTACATGATGCAAAGAAAATCTGTATACAGGGACCCTTCAAGAACAACTGTTCGAATGCTCGACAGCCTTGTAAGGTCTGTAATAATTAACAGTCTGTAAATAAATAGTCTCTAGAATGGATACTAAGTTTCTCAGTAGTGATAATTTGTAATCTTTTAGATTGTCTCATGCACATTGCCGATTGATGTACCGAACTACTATATTACCGTTGGATGCTATCACGGCTATCTCCTTAGTAGATTTATCAATGCAGGATTGTACTCTATCAGATACCGTTGATGCTCTTCATTCCACGTTCCAAAAATATCCTGACTTTGAATACCTTTGTAATGCGAAAAAAATCTTGACACGTCTAAATTTATTCGAAGTATGGAAAGAAGAATTACTTTACTACGCAAAGTTATTAAAAACTGACCATAAAAGCTTGGAAGACGATATAGATAATAATAAAAGTAGATTATTTGCTAAAATAGATGATATTGAGGATATTAATATACCACTTTCTGCAACACTTGTTACAAGCACCTATTTTAATAAGAAAGAGTATAATAATCAGGATAAAGAAAATAAGGAGAAAATAATCAATAAAAAGTTGGCCGCGACATTAGTTAAACATGCAACACTCAACAAGCAAGAAAGAAAACCACCCACAGTACAGAAAAAGAGTAGAGCAAAACGTAAAAGAAAAGAAGTCGTGATTAATACGAAAATGCAACTACAAAAAGCAAAAAAGTTAAAGGAAAATAAGCAAGTACAATCAAATGATTCTGATAGTGAGGACATTGATGTTAATAATATGTTGAATGCTGTCCCTAGTGTTAATGATGCCTTTACTGACTTAGGCATTGATTTTAACATGGATGATTCTTTAGGTGTATTAGATGAAGAGAATGAAAATAATATTAATCAAGATAATTTAGAAAGAGATAAAACCAACAATCATGATCATGATATGAATATTTCTAAAAATTCTAAATTAGATATTACATCTAAATGTGACAATCCAAATATAAAGCATAGTACTAAATTTAAACTGAAACAATTTCAGTTTTCTGGTAAACATGATTTAAACAAATATTATGATGAATCAATAAAACAAGAGGTTTTTAGCACAGATTTACCTGAAAATAAAAAGTCAACAGAAATTAAGAAACAGCCTGTTAGTAACTCCCAAGTATCCATGTTTGAAAGTTCCGACTGTGATATAGACTTAGATTTATAAAATCATGTGAATTTTTGTGTCAAACATTCTTAAGTTCTTATTGGTACTCAACATAAGCTCTATTTTGAATAAATACCAAAAACAACAATGACTCTTATGTATTATAAATAATAGTATGTACAAGTGCTATGATTGAATTCCTTTTTTATCTAAATTTCTCAAGTATATCTAAATCAAAATAGAAATAATTTATTCTTGTTCCTCTGAACTAGATGGTTTATAAGGGTCCTTTTCATAATTTTCTATTAGAAGATTTTTAAATCTTCTAACAGTAATTGCTATTGACTCCTCCCTGGCAGCAATATTTAAAACTTCAACTCTTGACACTAAAATGTGGTCTGGGTTCTTAGGACTTAAACCCTTAATTACATCTATCTCATTATCAACTTGAACCTGAAAGTAAGAGAAATACATTCAGATTATAATTTGAATTACCATAAGGGTGACTCAAGGGAAACTTAAAAGAATAAGCATAAATAATATTAATATTTGTACCGGATTGCTTTTTTTCAATAACTTTTTTCCATTGACTCTGATTTTACTTTCATAGAAGAGTTGCTCTATCTTGCTGAAAAAAGAAACATAATTGTATTTGGTATAGTATAGGTATAGTATTAAATAAACTGCATTAATAATAAATACCTACTTTCGTGAGACTCCTAAAGCCAATTTAAGAACCCCATCTGTTCTCAAAGAGGTAGTATTGACCTTTATGACCTTTGAATCCTTAGATAGGGATCCATCTCCCTCATATAACTCTTCTTCATCATCAGAATCAATGTCCCTTTTCTAAAAAACATATTGCACATAATACTGATACATAATGCTGTCATATTTAATTTATTTAAGAGACCTTTCTTATTTAATCGCAATACAATATTGAAATAAATGAAAAATAGACAGTATACAATCTTGATAATTTCTCATTATGTTTGTAATGAACATATTAAATACCTTTTTAGATTTTTGACGAATTACACTGTAAGTACAGTGAACTGGACTTAGTAAGAAGGGTTTATTCAAACTAGATTGAATTGTAGAAAAGGTAGCTAAGTGAATCGATTTTCTTTTGCTATTTTGAAGATTACAATATGCGAGGCCTACGAAACGTTGGACGTTTCTTCGCCATATGCAGTTCATATTTAAGGAATTATTTTATTTTTATATCGTCAGTCAAATATAAAAAATTAATCTAATACATAACTAAATTATTTGTAAATATTTTAGCTATGTTAAGTGTCACCTCTATCAAGTTGAAAACTGTCATGTTGTGACGCTTGAATTTGTAAATTGTCAATAGGATTCACAGAAATAACAAAAAGACACAGACTACTGTTTGCGAACGATATTTTACCATGTTTAAGTATTTTTACGTCATAATCGTTATAAATAATTTTTTTAAATTGAAGTAACAGTAACTTATGTTTTCTTGGAACTTTGTCACTCAAAAATGCTTTTGTATTGTGTACATACAACTCAAAGAATGAAATAAGGTATTAAAAAATAACAAAATGAATGCAAGATGGGTACTATAAAAAATTAAGCTTTTTTTCCTACAATAACTATTGCTGAACATGTAAATAGTGTAGACTTTTGTTTGGTTTCTCTCTTAGCAACTCGGGAACACATGTTTTGAATTCGAAACGATCTTTTTATATTCGTATACGATTATCTCCACGGCGAGTTCAAAGGGTTTTTAATTTGACACACTTTATGACTGTCGCGCGTTTGATGGCCGTGGGTGGAGGGTGTCATGAGGAGTGCTTTAATTAAATGACAAAGAGATATTAACACGTCTTCAGCTACCGGTTTGTAAAGGGAAATAGATATTACTCTGATGTGTGACTTTTTACGAAATACTTCAATGATTGTCAATAAATACGAAAAGTTAACTTACAATATGGTTTTTTATAAATTAATATTGTTCAAGGTATTGTCTGTCATCTGTCCAATTTTTAGGATTGTTCAAACTACAGCTATTGTCTACATTGAAACAATACCTACATAAATTCATCTATGGTTTGTTCACGTCAACAACGGAAATTATGACTACATGAATGCACCTATTTCCTTGTTATAATGACCGAATAAAGTAAACAAGATTTTCGATTGTAAATTATTGCATGCCTTATATGGACATTTGTTCAATGAACAAACAGTTCACTAATGAATTTCTGTTTTGGATTGAAAATGATACTACATATATATTTTCATATCTTATATTATAAAGGTATATATTGAAAATCTACCTTTAAAGATATTAAAAGTATGACACAGGTGTGTCTTAAAACTGCAACCGACAATCGTAGTACAACTTTGTTGGTTGTGGGTCGTGAGTCCCATCCGTGTCATCTTTTTATTAAACTAAAAACATAAGAATTCCTTATGAATTATACCTATATAAAAAAATTAAATAGCAAAATTTGAATGTTGTATACTTAATATAATAAATATGTCTATTAAATTTCTTAAAGATTTTGGAAATAGATTTTCTTAGTTAATAAAAAAAACTAGTTACTACTACGAGAGATCTCTTTTTATCTAAAGGCTCATTCTAAAGTTAGTTTTCGTTGGTTATCTAGTAAAAATATGAGCTTCTATGATTTTAGAAATAGTCGGGAGCGATGTTTCAACAGAGGAAATTAGATTTCTCATTTGCCGCTCGACATGGCATATCGTTTGTCATACGTTGACACCTCATCTTGTCAGGGTGGGCAGCCTCTTTGTAGAGCCATTGGACTGGAAAACGGATGACAAGAAGGCAAGTCTTGAAAAATAGCTGTCCAATTACATGTATAGTAGGCGGGACATTTTGTAATAGGCAAAGTATTGAATAGCCCAAAGACGTCAAGACTTATCTTTTTTAATCAATACGAACGAAGCGTACCTTGAAGCTATTAAATTACTTTCATATAAGTTATAGGAATTAGCTTACTGTGTTTGTTTTTAATGAAATGAGACAGAATATTTCGTAATGGTTCGCCTTTGCTGTAGCATTATTTTATAATTATAATAATTTTTTCTTAATGGCAGACAAGAAACATGTTTTTTTTATTTTTTTAATGTTGCTTCGCATTCTTTATAAACAAGGATACTTCTTGACTTATGCGTTAACGGTTAAACTGTAACATATTGTTAAATAAAAAAATAACACCACAGATTATACAGCTCATTGAGTAAAAGTTCAACAGAGTTCAAACCAAATGTGTCAGTGTCAAAACTACAGAATAACCAATCAGCGATGTCGTTGTGCAGTGAAGACGTTTAAAAACTTAATGACAATAATAAAGAAACGCCCGTTAATTATCTCAATTTAGAACTTTACTTTATTGCTGGCGGAGATAACATCGAATTCTGTACTTATTCATAAGTTTTGGGTTCCGTTATAAATTAAGTGTGACATTTTATCTATCTGCCTTTTTCAACTTTGTCATTGATATAAATGTACTAGTTGTAGTTTACTTCTGTAAACTTCAACTAGTACATTTAGATAAAACATTATTTAACATATTATGTTGATTATAGTTAAATACACGAATTTACGAATAAATACAACATCCAAAAGGGAAGGGTGCATGCAAAAAATTATTTTAGATCTAGATAGATGAATATGACTAAAGTTGTTAGTATAAACGACTATAAAAGTTATAACGTTTCCAGCTTGACCATTTTTTTATAGACTACGAGCGATGCTCCAGCTTTACGAGTAGACCACGTGGGCTAAGGACTAAACTCGCTAATGTAAGTTTTATGAGTAATTTCATGGCTATTCATTCTCTCTGCAGGGGGTGATCTTAGGGTGTCGCCATTCGTCGCACCCTGCGTTATCGGTTTCACTCATATATTACTCTCAAATTTACATCTGGTGACCTTTTTTTCACATCCGGTTATTTCAAACGCATTTTAATCTCAATTATGTACGAACAGCACTTGACAAAATATCGAAATTGCTTTATTGTTTAAGGGCGTGAAATTGTAGCTTTTCATATAGTTTCGAGTTCAGAATCGTGGTCACGTTAACGATACACTGTAATTTATTTTATTTCGTCTATTCCTATGTTTGTATTGGTCATTTAGTTATTTGTAATTAGGTAAGACATACAAAATAGTATAAAAGCCGTTATATAACATACAATAATTGTTACTTACTTAATGATTGTAAGTTACATAATAAATTTAAGATATTTTATACAATGGAATGTCATATCATGTTTGTTTGTCCTGATACATAAGCTTGTTTAATGTTACAATCAATCCTTTGTTGATCTTAAGCAGATTTTTAATACCTCTTTTTTTCTATGTATTCGTTTACTTTTAATAAATGAAAATATATCTCATGTCTGATACCTATGCAATGTCATTTCGTATATAAGTGATGAATTTTTTGATTCACTCCCTCGTTATTGATTATTCCAAACTTTAATTATAACTATGACGGTATGCCACTACTTTGTAGCTAAATGGTTAAACGTGTTGCTTAGCATTGTGTTAAGCGCGAGAGGTCCTGGGTTCGCTCCCCGGGAAAACAGTAAAATGTTTCGGTCGGGCAGGGCACAGAAATCTGACCACCTACTTGCCTGTAAATAAAACCGATCAGTAAAACGGACACAAAAATGTGTTTGCCCTATGCCCCACGACGGGAAAACAGGATTTCACTTTTTTTGTAATCAGTAGCCTATATTTGCAACTTTGTTGTTCATATACAACTAAAACTACTACCTACTTATTAAAATACGACGCACAGAAATTAAAAGCGAAATGTTCATTTGTGCAATATTCATGACGTGTGAAGGCTCGTTTACGTTGATAACATCCGTATTCAATGTTCGCCATTATAAGCTCATTTTGTCGGCTAACAGGGTGATGTGAGCTTAATTAAAATTCTGCGCCATCAATCATTTGATTATTGATTTTGCGTCTCTTGCATTCGGCGGACGGTCCGCTATCAATTTGTTATGAGCTGTTGACATTCTAAAATGTATGCAAAATAAATTATGCCAGAGATATTATGAAGCAAGTACCTAACATAGTGAAATCCCGTTGGGTAGTTACAGCGTCCTAGTATATTACACGACTACTAGCTGTTAAGACTTTGCCGTGTTCGAACGAAAACATTGTTTTCCGTTTCATTTGATTTGTCGTCGATTTTATATATCACTGGAACGCTTTATATTTCCTTATTGCTTTGTAATTTTTCAGGAACAGATGTAATCGGATGATATTGATTATTAGACGTATTATCATTATAAAAAAACTTTTGGCAGTAGTATAAAATACAATCCATATAGGCTTAATTATAATACAATATTGAGGAGAAATGTATTTAAATAAAACACTGTAAACGGTTTCAAAAGAAAAATATATTCACTTATTTACAATTTATTTTAACTACCACCCGAGGTTTCGAATGCTTTGCAGCAGACTTGTTCCTCCCGCGAGCGGCAAAGTAGTTAACTTATAAATTTCACGTTTTAAACCGTTAAAGTTTAATTTAAAAGTATACTTCTTGCGTAACTAACAGAAAATGCTGCAATATGTATTACAAAACAAAACTCAGTTCTGAAATGTATTCTTATAGCAGCCTCAATTCTTGACTTTCATGTTTGTATAATTTTCTATACTTACAATCTGAAGTCTGGAGTCAAGCCAGAGTGTAACTGCATTGCAGACGGCTTTTACCTACCACTTAGCATTTTTAATCGCCGAGATACCCTCATTGAGGTAATTATGAAATCTGAAAGCTCCGGCTAATGAAATTTACTACAGTTTGGTGAACCTAATTTTATCATTTGGCTCTATTTGTAGACTAATGCGATATAGTACGTTCTGCATATAAGATAGTGGGCGAGGCGTTTAGGCTTTTCTATGAAATAATAGCTGTTTATATAATTCACTTTAGATGTTTAAAACACGATATATTTTTATGTGACCACGGCTGCTGCAAAGCATCCGAAACGTCGGGCCGTAGTTAGGTACAATAATTTAAAAAAAAGTTAAACTAATATCGCGTTTAGACCGTTAAAGTGTTTTATTTAAATGTGTACTACTCGCGCAAACTATTGGTTTCGGCACCAAAAAACTGTAGTGTTTGAACAGTTTCAGCGTACACTCTCGAGTTTCGGGTACCAGAGACTGTTGTG